GATAACGATTCCGAATAATCTTATGATTTTGAAGGAGCAGATAGAACATTTGGTTTTTGATCTCATGGCCTTAGTAACTAAAGGCCGCTAAAAATGTCAGATAGAACGTTGTAATTCTGAGGTAGCGAACTGTCAGCAGACCCATTAACTGTCAACTATCAACAGAGCCATCAACTGTCAACAGACTCATCAACTGTCAACCCGTCAAATGTCAAAAGACTCGTGAACTGCTAACTGTCAACTGTCAACCCGCCAAATGTCAACAGACTCATCAACTGCCAACTGTCAACTGACATTGTCATTTCTCCGGTGAAATACACAACAAAACAAACAGGTAAAGAAAGAAATCCTCAACTCCAAACCATCATAAAGACAAAGAGTCATTCATTAAGTCATTCAGAGAAGAAAGAGAACAATCAAGTGGCCAGTAGCGAGCGATGTCCATGCGACCTGCAGTTCACCGCTGGCCCGCTACTGAAACGCCGCTGGGACAACACAATTCATATATATACAATTCATATATACAATGTGTCAGAGGAAAGAACTACACGAGCACAAGAAAATAAGGTTGTTTTTTTCTTTAATCATTAAAGTCCATTATTATCATAACTGCATTCATGAAATACATCTCACATGACTGATATTCATATTTGAAAATGATCGAACAGAATTATATGCACACATAAATATAATATATATACATGTATAACAAATGTGCACATGTGTCACATCGCTAAGTTCCACAAACATCAGGTGTCGAGCTGTGCCCACGACTCTGACATGTATTGAACCTCTTGGCTCAGCCAATCTCCTGCCCACGCTGAGTTTTAGTAACAGTTTTACGGCACTTGCAACACAATAAGGTCATATGCTGAAGATTAGGGGTGTTACAAGAGAGTAACAACAACAAAAAAAGGAGAGTTTTTAGTTTAGTTTTAGTAGAGGTTTTACGGCGCTCGCAACTACATAAGGTCATATGAGCGTCAGAAGAGTAGAGGTGTCACAAGAGAGTAACAACAACAAAAAAGGAGAGATAAAGACGATAGATGTTTGATAGGAAAGAAGGAGCAAACCACACCAGAGCACCCGCCAATCACCCACGCTGAGCAAACAAACAAACAAACAAACAAATAAACAAACAGAAAAAAGTGTCATACAAATCATCAAAATTCAACACTGGCTAGTTAGCATTCATTATAAAACGAGGAAATCTAAATAATATGCAAAATACATTGTGATGAATATAGCATTTCTGTAACGCATTATACATATATTATTATATCCTCACCAAACAGCAAGTCCCATGCGCTTTGCATTGTAAGAAATAGTAATAGCATTTGTATACCACATATCTCCGCTAAAACAGTAGCAGGCTCTTGATCTGCCACGGTCTATACACTTTAGTTTTGTATTAGTTTTCGTAAGTTTTTTTTAATGCGCTCGCAACTGCATCAGGTCATATGAGCGCCAAGGGGTGTATGTCAACAGAGAAGTCCAAACCGGGAATCAGGCTTACTCTGCTCACCTCTCAAGCCTCAACAGAAAAAAGTCTGCTTCATCTATGCACTTTGCAATGTAATACAAAAGACACGTTTAAAAAACCAAAACTAAACAGAACTGCTGAGGAGTGTCTGTGACCTGTACAATTAATGTACTACTAGTACTAGTATTCTATGTACACACAGGACATTCACAGCAGAGGATCATACTATAGTATGACCATCCACAGACCAGCATATACAGTACAGCAGTGGATCATACTATGACCATCCACAGACCAGCCTATACAGTACAGCAGTGGATCATACTATGACCATCCACAGACCAGCATATACAGTACAGCAGTGGATCAAACTATAGTATGACCATCCACAGACCAGCATATACAGTACAGCAGTGGATCATACTATGACCATCCACAGACCAGCATATACAGAAGTGGATGAAACTATGACCATCCACAAAACATCCATCCACTGTTGCGGGCTCATGTAATACAAGACTGAATATATATATATATATATACTGACCACTCAAAGACTAAGGGCTTATGTAATGCATGACTGAATATAATTAAACTGACCACTCAAAGGTTGAGGGTTTATTATGTAATGCATGACAGAATATATATATATATATATACATACTGACCACTCAAAGGTTGAGGGTTTATTATGTAATGCATGACAGAATATATATATATATACATACTGACCACCAAACAGTTGAGGGCCTAATGTAATACATGACATCGGGATATTATACTGACCACTCAACAGTTGAGGGCAGAGTCCCATACACTACAGCCACAGACAAAACCCTTCACTGTAGGCCTGGCTACTGCAATCTGCACTCAACATATTCAGATGATCACGGCTCAACTCAATCGCTGGAGGTAGGTTCCACACAAGGTTATTTGGAAACTTTTCACAAATTGAACGTTTAATCAAACAAAATTCATGGGTTGAATCATAAACACAATTTATGCACAAGCTTTTGATTGAAACAAGTGCTGGAAGTTTATTTGGAAACTTTTCAGATTTAACATTGCATCAGCAAAATTCATGGGTTGAATTATTATTAAAAAATGTACACACAAGCTTTTGATTGAAATAAGTGCTTGAAGTTAGAAGTACATTCTTGTCTTATTAATAAATTATTTACACATTTGGCCACCTCCCGAGGTCATTTAAATTTAAGGAAAAAAACGAAAACGAAACCCGCTGAAGCGTACTGAACACTTTGTCCATTTCTCAGCCGATTTAGTTCTGTAACAGTAACAAAGATATCTTTTTCCACACGGTAAGCCAGAAGGTTGTCCTTATGTGGCGCTGGCTCACAACCTACAGACTGACAGACCCATGCCAGTAGTTTGACAACGTACAGATTGACAGACGAATACCAGTACAGACAATGTACAAACAACATACAGACAGACACATATGCCAGTACAGACAGACAAAATTCAGACAAACAGATCCATGTACATACAACGTACAGACAGACAGACACATGACAGTACAGACAAGGTACAGACAGACCCAGATTGTATGTGAGTTGTGACATATTGTCTGCTTGTGTCCCAGAATCACCAGAATACATTTTTGGGGGCTTTCAGAGAAAGCTGTTAGAGTTATTGGAATGCACACATCAAATGTTGAGGGAGATCTGCTTGCCATGTCTCAGCCAATCAAAACTCTGGATAATGCTTGCCATGTCTCAAAATGCTTGCCAAGTCTCAACCAATCAAAACTCTGGATTATGCTTGCCATGTTTCAGCCAATCAAAACTCTAGATTCTGCTTGCCATGTTTCAGCCAATCAAAACTCAGGATTATATTTGTGGAAAGGCTTTGGGGTAAATAAAGAATTGTTCATAATTAATAACGCATTTCAGATGAGCAGATAATTAAAACCACCTGTCTGTCTCTCTTCACTCAGCTGCACACACAGAGGTAGTTAGCAGCACACATGAGTCGCTGAACAGTTTTCCTAAGGTACCAATAGCCAGTAACAACAGTTCATGACCACTAATAACAGTTATAAAAACAGAAAACAAAAAACGGTTTTACAAAACTTGGACTTCTCTTATTCTATTTCTAACTAACAATTGAAAGTTAAAAACAAAAGAATGTAGCAGGTTAACTACCCAATCCGTACGTCGCGTTTTACTATCGTATCCATACAACGTGGGGAACTGTATTCCACCACTTTCCAAAAAGGAAATTTACATGTTAATCCGATACATGACGTTTTGCATAGCAGTCTGTCAAAATAATTTTTTGAGAAATACTGAAAGTTTCAAAGAGATCTCCATGCCAGAAGTATTCTAAAATGTGAAGAATACAATCCAGGGTGTACAAAATGACCCCAGGGCGTACGGATAGGATTAAATAATGTTCCCAGAAGCTGACACTTGGACCAACAACCAGTTCCTCAAACTAAAATTTCCACCAAGAAAACCTGTCATCATGGTCTTGGTAAGTTAAAGTAAGCAGCCATCAACGTTTTCTACAACTGACTTCTGAGAAAAAACCTTGGACTTTCAAAGCGTCAGTACCAGCCACAAGTGAGGTCTGACACATCAGTAACTTTTTTCTTTCTCCACAGACAGAGCACAGGCAAGCATCCCTGGCCAGTACACACAGTAGGCTACATAGATCTATATATGTACATATGTGTCACCACACTGTGGAATCGGGTGTTCCTCAATTTTTGGACATAACGAGTTATTGGTAAAAGGTATACTTGTAAAGTCTCATCATTTGACTGTTTTTTAATTAAAGAAAAAAAAAATCCACTTATCTCGAACATATGTCAAGATATTTGCGACTCAAGGAGATGGGGATCACCTGGTGTCAGAGGTAAAATTAGCGAGAAAATGGCCACTCAAGTTTAGCCACTTTTAAAGCTGCATGCCCTTGGAAAGAGCAAATTAAAACTTTTTGCACTTTTGAATTCAGTAAAATTCACACCGAATTGAGAAAGGAATCTTTAAATGAACATGAAAGTGTTGAATACACTTGAGCCCAAAACAAAACAAAAATTGATAAAAATTGTCCAATGGGTGGAAATGGAAATGTGTTAACGTCTTTGATTACAATATTTTGACAAGCCCCTGATTTCACCACGATGCCTTGCACGATATATCATAACAGGTCTACTGTGCCCAGCAAAAAAATAATAATTTTAGATTTCAAACTGACAAAAATTCTTTCATGACTTTTAACTAAAGCCAGCAAGGCTTTAGACCTTCACATGGCCCTTGCCCAAAATTCCTCGCATGTTGCCTTGAATGTGGTCAACATTGTTCCAAGCAATGAAGAGGCCACCCCCTCCCCCCTCCATAGAAGACAAACGTAGCATATACAAAACCACTTAAAAATTCACACCACATACACATTTAATGATGACAACATTAAATCAAAACACGTCTGATGTGCACATAATGACCAATGTAACCCACAACTTCAACCAAGGAAGAAAAAAAAAAACTCTTGGCAATTTGAAAAATAGAGCTTTTAATGCATCATATTGCACCTGTTTCAGGTCATACGTCTTTCATGTCAACCACTGCAGAGATACAAAAATAACCAATTTATTATAAAACAACAACAAATAATGCCACAACCTGTGGGACACCTCATTGCGTTCACACAGCTTTTTTCTGTACTCGACACCAGTCATATATATCACCCAACAACAACACAAGCAAAACTTGCTCATCATAAAAAATACAGTCGGGTCATTATCTCCAGTCCCCATGTCAACTAAAACACACTTCAAGTTTTTCTCTCGAGTCAGAATAGCAGCTTCCTTCTGTCACGTCATATCATCTCAGTCTCTCAGACTAGCAGCTTCCTTCTGTCAAGTTGTATCATCTCAGTCTCTCAGACTAGCAGCTGCCTTCTGTCAAGTTGTATCATGTCAGTCTCTCAGTCTCAGACTAGCAGCTATTTTCTTTCATGTCAGTCTCTCAGTCTAGCAACTACCTTCTGTCATGTCATATCATGTCAGTCTCTCAGTCTCAGACTAGCAACTACCTTCTGTCATGTCATATCATGTCAGTCTCTCAGACTAGCAACTACCCTCTGTCATGTCATATCATGTCAGTCTCTCGGTCTACCTTCTATCATGTCAGACTAGCAGCTATTTTCTTTCATGTCAGTCTCTCAGTCTAGCAACTACCTTCTGTCATGTCATATCATGTCAGTCTCTCAGTCTCAGACTAGCAACTACCTTCTGTCATGTCATATCATGTCAGTCTCTCAGACTAGCAACTACCCTCTGTCATGTCATATCATGTCAGTCTCTCGGTCTACCTTCTATCATGTCAGACTAGCAGTTACCTTCTATCATGTCAGTCTCTGAGACTAGCAGCTACCTTCTGTCATGTCAGACTCTAGCGTCAGACTAGCAGCTACCTTCTGTCATGTCAGTCTCTCAGTCTCAGACTAGCAGCGATCTTCCATTATGCACAGCAGGAAAGGACTCCCCTGTCTCCCACTACACACAGGCCAGGCTACGAGTCGCCGCCGGCACCTGGCTCTTTCTTCACCTCCACATCCCCGCTTGCCGCGGGATCTTTGGGCGGGAGGGGGTCCTCGTCCTGGGCGGCCAGAGAGACGGCTGTAGCCTCCGACCCAGAGCCCACCGACTGGTAGGAGGCGGAGGTCACAGGGGTGAACGAGGCGGTGGGTTCCGGAGTCGGGGTACGCGATAGTTCGGGGGTGGGGTTCGAGTCCATCTCGTCCCAGGCGGTGCTGGGGTCGTCCTCCTGGCTGACGGGGATCACTTCCCGCGGCACCGTGCTGGCGATGGTGCTGAGCAGTGTGGTGGGGACGTGCTGCTGGCCCGTCGTTGCCCCTGGAACCGACGCCGGTTTGCCAGGACTAGCGGCAGACTGGCCCTCAGAGACCTCTGTCCGCTGCGCTGGCACGTCAGCGGGAGCACGACTCAACTCCGCCGTCGATGCTGTGTCGGCCTCTTCCATTTTTATTTCTTGCTTGACGGCTGCCGAGATCTCCATAGGGCTGGTCAAAGTGGAACTGGACGGCGCTTCTTCCACAGCGTCTGGGTCGGGTTTGATTGTGAGCGGCACTTCCTCTGTAGGGGCACCTCTAAGGGCAGCAATCTGCTCGTCTAGCGGGTTGTGGGGCAGATCCACAACAGGGGTAGGCGTCTGTAGAAGGAAAGATATTCACTTGTCAACTTGGCTCGGCATTCTCACAAGGGACAAGAGACATCTACACCACATTTACCCATGTCTGATGGTCCTCGTGTGCTTGGTGACCACACACACACACACACACCAATTTACACACACATGAACCAACACTCACATAAGCACCTACACACACGCACCCACCCACACACACAGCCTGCTCTTTGCTGAAACCATCCTCATCCCCTCCCAAACACACTCTACATACCCCCAGCAGACATAACTAATGTGAAAATAATCCTGTTTAATTCAACTTTAAAGTTAAAGTTTAACTCACTTCAGACGGGTCACACAACAGTTGCGTGACCCCCGTCGCGAGCGTCGCGGCGGGTCTCACAAGCCCTGCGTGACCAACTTTGGAATGTTTTTTTTGCTCTACAAATCACGCATGGATCGCGAAACCCGCCTTGTACCCTTGTTTGGCCAAGCCTGAGCTACTTAGACTTCGTTTCGTATCTCTGGGGCCGGTAGTTTTTAAGTTATTGAAGGCGAAGGACAGTGACCCCAACTGGGGTTGAACAGACCGGAACTCGCGCTTTGTTTTTTTTCTATACAGCTGGTAGTAATCCGACAGTCGCGACGTAGTAACGGTCGAAGAAGTCGCATGAACAAGAATCACATAATTTCGCCGTTTTCTATACTTCTGTGCGTTTTACTAGTTCTAGTGTCTCAGAATATGATGTGTCTAATTGTTAGGATCCTGGATATGTACCCGACACGGCCCGAGTCGTAGTTCTAGGGCTAGATGTAGCACGAGTACCAGTGTTGTTTTTCGCGCAACGAAATCACTACGTCGTGCCGTACATCTGTCTCATGTAATTCAGTGTATGGGTCTGAATCAATGCACAGACCAGCTTTGAACTTTTATTTTTGTTGTTGCAGTGAATTCCATTCTACTTGTCACGTCTCTGGAAATTTTTCGGAAAATCAAATTCATGCCAGTTTTTGAAAAATCATACAAATTAAAGTATTAGACTTAGACAACTTTAGTTTTTTGTATTAGATTAAGCTTGAATGTTACTTTACTGTGTCAAAAAATGATTACAATAGGGTAATTCTGAGAGTTGTGGTGATTTATTGAAATACCCCCCAAAACGCCAGTCTTCAACGCTTGTGACTGGTGAAAGGGCCCAGTCGCAAATGAGTTAAAGAAAGAACAGAAATACTAAAAACATGATTCTACTATACACACACAGGGAGAGAGGGAGAGGGAGAGAGACAGAGAAAGAGAGTTCCAGCTACATAGGGTAAAGATATAATTCAACCACTGACCTACTATAATATATATATATATTAATATAAACTAGTACACAAAACAATTCAGGAAAAGAGAAAACAATCGGGACATTGAAAGGTTTTGGCCGCTTTAAAAAAAAAAAGGATTTTACCTCTTGAACATCTTCATAGCACACAGGATGATACGTCTGAAAAGAAAAGAAAAACAAAACAAAATGTAGATGCACAGTAGGATAGAAGTTTATGGTTTATAAAACAATACATGTAACTATGTTACAGACCACTATTCTTTGAGAGCTCAAACTCACCAAGCCCTCATCCCAAACACAGACAGGCTCGGGTTTACCCAATTTTCCCAAGAAGACAACCTAATAAAGCCATATAAATATAATTCCGGTACCGAGCTTTAATTTCATCATTTTCCCAACCGGAAATGAGTGAGATTTTGAAATATGGAAGCAGTTTAAATGAAAAACTACTTTCACTTTGGTGACCTTCTATAGGCCTAATTACCCAAAGTCTTTTTATTTTGCTTATTATTTTTTTAAAACCACCCCTCCCTCCCAACACGGACACAGTAACACAGTCAGCTGTATCCAAAACTTTTTCAAAGAAAGAAATACAGCCTAATCTGCTCTTTTTTGTTTTAGTAAGAGTTTTACGGCACTTGCAACACAATAAGGTCAAACAAGCGCCGAAGAATAGACGTTTTACAAGAGAGTAACATGCATGGAAAAAAAAGGAGGAGAGATAAGGACGATAGATGTTTGATATATGAAAGAAGGAGTACAACACATGTCTTCTCTAACTTCTGTAACGGCCACCTGTCCAAACCACCCCTTCCCACCCCACCTTCCAATACATTATAACGACACAGTCCAAGACTCCTCCCTGTCTAAGACAACCAGTTTTCTCCTCAACAACGAGTGGTCGCCACGGACAATTCCCAGTGCAGAAACATAAATGTCTAATGTGCCCACCTTGCCGTCCACTTTGATGGTGTTTTTCAAGATCCACTCCTCCGTCTCCTCGTTCCACATCTGGTCAAAGGGATCACCACAAGTGGCACAAACCTGAAAAACAAAATTTCACTTTTAAAAACCTGAAAGCAAAACGCTGCATTCTTCGAGCTGATGCTTCACAATGACAACCTTTATTCATCTCACAGCGGGGACAGTTTCTTATACTCACTATCTAGAGTAGTTTCAGTTCTGGTAGGAATTTTGAATAGATTTGTTGAGGTGGTCGAATTTCTACTCTTATTGATTGTAAAACCACAGGGGATCTTTAGCATGTGCAACTTGCATGCCGTACCTCCGAGATTTTTCGCCCCTATTCGAAAAGGCAAGTTGTTAGATCTTACTTACCCTAAGATCAGGGGGTGTAGCTGAAAAACTGCAGTAAGATGGAGACAGGAGTAGCAGTCGAAAGAGTCAGGAGTAAAGAGAGAGAGAGGGGCAGAGAGGGGGCTGGGAGCGGGGGAAGAGGAAAGCAAATGACAACAAGACTAGAGACCAGGAAAGAAGGACAAAGGAAAACAAATTTTCAGAGAAGAAATTTGTTGGAGGTTGCTGGCAGATTTTGATCCTGACAGCTTTTGCCGAAGAGGTGAATATGATAGCTATAGCAGTTGCTTCAGTAATAATAAATTAATAATAAATAGCATTTATATAGTGCATTCCACAAAGAAGTGCTCAATGCGCTGTACAATAATACAAAGAACATATACAGTGTACAGCTCTTACAGTTATCCTCTTTCTCACTCACTCTGTCTCTCTCTCTCTCTCAATAAACTAGCCAAAAATCTTACGTCCTCTCCCTCAGCCCCCGTGGCCACTGGGTTCTTGATGACATCCTTCCCTTCCAAGGCACGTAACATGGCAGGGGCCGGCACCGAGGTCTCTCCTTCCGCAAACTTCATCTGTTCAAATATTTCACTGCGGGCTGTTGGAAGGAAGAAAATAGAGACAGTCATGAGATGAAACAATTCTTTCTGTCTCAAATGACAGCCAACTTTGGATACAAAACATTTTCCATTCAGAAAGAGTTTACAGCATTTGCAACACAAATCTAGGTCATAAAGATGCAGAAGATTTGAGGTCTTACAAGAAAAGAAACAACAAAGAAAAAGAGAGGAGATAAGGGCAAGAGATGTTTGAAAGGAAAAAAAGAGCAAACCACAACAAAGCACCCGTCAACCACCCAGACAAAACATTTTGTTGGGTGGGAGAAGGAATCTTTCTGTTGTAGTCCATAACCTGGCCTAGTGGCAAAACAAAATATCTGTGGTGAAATCTTTACCGTTTTTCAGCTTGTCACCTTATAAAAATGCTGAATTTAATCAAACATGACAGGCTGCCATGCACATAAGCTTGGTCTCATGCCATGAATGATTAATAAGGATAAAAATATTGCCTACATCCTTTGATCCTAAAAAATAACATAACACCCTACTTTCCAAAATGAGGGACTATCTAAAAAGACATAAACCCTGTCTGTCAAAGTGTTGCTGAAATGAGAGTTCTCTATTGGCTAAATATTAATACAGTCTTGTTAACTGTAAAAGATGGGGAGTCACCAGTCCTGTGTTTGGTCCACAGAAACATTTCCCTCATCACAGCAGCAGCAGCTCTCCACAATTGCCACAAGACGTTTTTTAAAGGCTTTGAGAAAATTAAAGAAAAGAGATTTTTGCCCAAATCAGAACCCTGATTCTGGAGCCTGTTATTTTTCTGTGACAAACTGGGAAGGAAAACAAAGGTATCATAAGACGTCCCTTGATGTCTGTGTTCCGATAACGACTTCATCTAGAGATCCCACAATATGATTTGGTATCGTGGAAGGACATTGACAACATATACAAGTCATTTCCTTATATATGTTACAGTTAACAAACGTGCCTGGCTGAGGAGATGCCATGACAGAAATGTGCGGTGGGACATTACAACGGTACATGTGCAGATACTCACATTTCTCCTCTGTCTCCTCCAGCTCCTCGTACTGAATCCAGTCCTGTAGACCAGGGAGAGAGAAGGAGAACGTTAGAAAAAACCAATGTGTGTACATCCAGTTATCAAACTCTCACATATTCACACAATTCACACAGATTCACTGGGTTCTTGACAAGAAATTTCCACAAACTAGTTGATCTGTCAACAGTTTCCCCTCAATAATAAACATCACATCTCTACACAAAAATAGGACTTTGTGGACATCTACAAGAAATTACTTGTTTGCTTTCACATTACATTCAACAAAAAACCATAAAGAAGAGCAAAAAGCAAAGAGGCCATTTTTCACATACAACAATTACGCTCATCAAGAGGGGCCATTGTTCACACCCAACAATAAAGTTCACCAAGAGGGGAGCGTCAAAAACTCACCGTTATAGAGTAGAACCACTTCCTGTTCTTGGCCACTTTCACCATTTCCTGCTCCAGCTTGTTCTGCCGGAAGTGCCAATCGAGGTGAGCGCGGTACTTCTCGTGGTCACTCAGAGTGAAGCGGGCGGCGCAGGTGTGGCACTGCATTCCCTCGTGGAGTGTCTCCACCACAGACTTACGCATTCTGCGCACGAGACAAGGGAACAAGACATTTTAGTAAGAGCTTTACGGCACTTGCAATACAATAAGGCCATAAAAGTGCAGAAGAATAGATGTGCTACAAAAGAGTAACATACACAGAAAAGAAGGATGAGAGATAAGGACGATAAATGTTTGATGGGAAAGAAGGGGCAAACCACTCCAGAGCACCCGCCAACCACCCATGAACTGGACATGAAACACATCACTAAAGGAAAAACGTCTCCCTACCATTTATTTAAGCAAAGGTAGACTTGTCCTTCAAGCCGTTTTCATCCTAACCTCTACAAGTCATTAACAACTCAAAAACATGTAAAAGCAAACAAAAAGAGCTTTAGAGTTTTACAGCACTAGCAAAAAAGAAATGGGTCCTACACAAGCCCAAGAATAGATGTTACTACGAGAGAATAGAGTAGTAATAATAATAATAATAATAGATAGCATTTGTATAGCGCATATCCCCGCTCAACAGCAGGCTCTATGCGCGTTACACTATATTATTACCCCAGCAGACCATAGAACACTCCGAAACATTCTCAGCTTCCCGGGAAGCATACAGTGCAAGCAGCTGATTAAGCGCTCAAACACTAACAAACTGACAAGATCTTTCGCTGTCTATAGCCGGGTACCCATTCCCACCTGGGTGAAGTGAGGAAAATTCGTGTAAAGTGCCTTTCCCAAGGACACAACGTCGGGCCCCTGACGGGATTCGAACCCTCGACCTTACGGTTGCGAGTCCGAGAGCCTAACCACTAGGCCACCGACGCCACAGAATAGGAGAAGGGGAGACGGGAGGACAGCAGGCAGAGCACCCACCAAGCTGAACTAAAATCAAGCAAGATGCTGCAAACTTTCCACACAGAGAAATTTCCTCATGACATGAGGAACCACGTTGGAGGGTACCTGGGGATACGTTAGCATTAAAGAGACAGTACCGTCAAAGCTTAAGCACATCCGGGACGTTAAAAAGAGTCGACAAAACACCTTCAACAACAAGTAAATCCTACCGACTGAAAAGGAGGGTCAATTTTGTCAGGGTGGTAGAAAAGTTGGGTCACGATTTTACTGTGTGCACTACTTACATTTTCAGATCCGATGGTAAAAATCCTGTAAGGTCAGGGACGTATGCTTTCTTCTGAAACAAAAAATATTTTAAAAGATATGAATTGCGTGTTACAGCGACCAAAGTTCCTGTTTTCCATTAAGTTATTCCATTTTCACAGCTGGAACATGACTCAAAACATAAAGGTCAAATAAAAGCTGAAAAGTTGAAAGTATTACAAACAAAACTGACTTTTAGGTATTTTTGTGAAATGCAACAGACAATATGCTCTTCTTAATCAACATCTCCAACATGTGAAATCAGAAACCACAGGTGGCTCACACATACAAAGCCAAATCGGTTGGAAGCACAAATCTTGTTGTTATGTGTACAAATTTCGCTATGCAGGTGATTAAAAAAAACAAAAGTTTTGGAGAAAAAAAAATTGGGAATTGAAAATCTGTATGCTGTGTACATATTTGGTTGAGTGTGTGCTAGAATGTATTCTTATTGGTCGCTTTTAAACACAAGGGGGCTATCATGAAAAATGCTGTTTTGAGAAAATCGAAGGTAAAATGTTCGCCCCTTCTTCAGTTTCTTTAAAAGACAAGGAGAGTTTTCTCTACAACCAAACAAATATACACAGCAATGAAACCAAACTTCTTCTATAGGTAGAGCAATACCCACTTTTGGTGTAGGTCAAGATTTCTGGAAACCCCCCGAATCTGGGTTAGCCTGCTTGTCCTTAAAAGTGACCAGTTATGTTCTATTCTAATTACGTGCAAGGTACTCTAAAGACAAGCCCAAGCCCCATACCTTCACTGGAGCCGGTTCTTTGGTGGAGCTGGGCGACTCAGTCTTCTGCGCTGGCACCTGAGCTGCCTCTGTCTTTGGCACCAGTGACGGGGCCGGTTTCTCCTCCGCCTTGCCCGGCTCTTTGATGAGCCCGACCTTGAGCAGGTTATTGAGCAGACTGTTGATGTCGATGGGAGCTTTGGGCGCAGACGACGCATCCGCCGCGCCGGTGCTAGACGCAGATGCTTCCGTAGGCGTGCTTGAGGCCACAGAGGGCAGAAGGTTTTTCAAACCAAATATACCTGGCAGGGATGGAAAAGGAACCAGGTGTAAAAATGTAGGCTTCGGTTCTTCTGTGCTTACCACTAATACGTTCCTTGAAAAAAACCCAAAAAACCCCAAAAAAACACAGGTCACTTTCACACAGCTGTGTAGCCAAGACAGCAGTGATGGGTGGAAACACTTTTCTAAAGGGGGCTGTTCAAATGAAATCTTACACCTTTTGGGGAATTTTTGCCCCCCTCCCCTCCGTTCTTACACTTTTCTCTTTTCCTACTTTTACTTAATTATAAATAAAACAAATTACAGTGGAATTCTGATAAAGTCAACACCTCGGGACCCCCAAAAAATGTAATATTACATTGGTTCAAGATCCCTACCCCCTTTCTTACAGGAGCCAAAGACACCCCCCACTCACTTTCTTACAGGAGCCAAAGACCCCCCCCCCCCCTCACTTTCTTACAGGAGCCAAAGACACCCCCCCCCTCCCTCTTCCAGGCTTAAGATTATATTTGAACGTAACCAAGCTTGGTTTTCAACAATTCAGAAAAGAGAAAGAAAATTTGAGCATTCCAGAACAAAGGAAGTCCCAACTGTGTAAGAAAGAGAAAGTACCTGGGAGATTGGGTTCTGCGATGGGCTGTACGTTGGCCGCCGCTGGTCCTCTAGGAGCCGGTCCACTGGGTCCGGGCACGCCCGATTTCTGGTGACATAGAGGGCACTCGTGTTACTTTATACAAACAACTAAAACACCAGGAGGGCTCTCGCGTTATTTCACACAAACACAACAACTAGAACACCACATCACCAACACTATAAATACCAACATTGACATTATTCTGTTCACAGGAACTTCCCACAACATGTACTGTTGAAAATAAACAAGATTGTCGTTTTCTTTAAATTTGAATAAACCGTAGGGAACGGGAAAGAGGATACCCATTTCCCTCGTGACTCATTGGAGCAGAGGAAGATAGGACTAACGCTAACATTACTTAAACGCAACCCCACATAATGACTCATCACCACCATTATTTCTAAAATTAACGGGAAACCCAAACAGGTCAGCCAATTCACCATTCACAAACTTTGCCATGAAGACATTACTACAACCAAAACAAAAAAACAAACTCTTCAACAACTAAGCTCGCCAAGCATTTAGAATAGAATGATGACTTTGAGGGGAAACGGCGATAACAAAAGGGTCCGTGTATGAGCCAGCAGGAAAGCTGGGAACAATCGATATTTTGTCTGCTAGTGTCAGGAGGGGACAACAATCATAATTGAAAAAATCACGCAGCGTAGTAAACTGTGTGGACATACGTGGAGTGGAGTGTACAGGGTTCCCTGTAGGCCCGTGGCCATGGCCGCCGAGTGGGTCGACTGTTGGAGCAGATTCTGCTGGGGTCGCGTCGTGCTCAGGTTGGTGGAGGCGGCTAAACCAGCAGCCAGGTTTGAGATGCCTGCGAGATTTGGCTGTCTCAAGCCACTTGCAAGATCTAATTGGGAAAAAAGGAAGAAGAAAGACAACATTAACAAACGCATTAAAATATTCGAAGGTCCTTTACGCGTTGCAAGACCCCAATTCCCAATTATCCTGCATTCCCTGCTTTACAATAAACTAACCAAGTACAGACTACTTTTTTTAAAATAGAAAAAGTGTGTGTGTATGTGTGTGTGTGGAGGGGAGGAAGAAGGGATGTAAAGATTTGAAGATTTCATCTATTTCAACAGAAACTACAATCCCACCACACCTGATAGTTTTATTAAAACCAACCATGACCCAAGTAAAGGTATAACAGAGCAATATCTTACTAGCAATCAGTCCAGAGTAAAAGAAACAGGTAAAAGTATAACGAAGCAACAACTTACTGGCAATCAGTCCAGAGTAAAACAAACAGGTAAAAGTATAATAGAGCGATGTTTTACCGGCAATCAGTCCAGAGTAAAACAAACAGGTAAAAGTATAATAGAGCAATGTCTTACCGGCAATCAGTCCAGAGTAAAAGAAACAGGTAAAAGTATAACGGACTTACTGGCAATCAGTTCAGAGTAAAAGAAAAAGGTAAATGTATAACAGAGCAATGACTTACTGGCAATCAGTCCCGAGTTCATCATGTTCTGCATGAGTGCCGGGTTCTGCTGTGCGGTGGCCAACACTTGCCCCGCTATGTTCTGCGGGCCCACCATCTGTCCCGGGCCTCCCATGTTCATGGGCCGCATGGGTCCCCCCATCTGTGGGTTCTGCCCCAGGCCGAGCGGGAGCCCCTGCTGCCCCTGCTGGGCCATCATGGCCGGATTTCCCTGGCCCATCATCATGGCCGGGTTGCCCTGAGACATGACCGCCTGGTTGCCCTGCAGCATCGACATCTGGACCTGGGCCATCCCCGGCACGCCCTGCCCTTGCATCATGGCTTGGTTTCCTGCGGCTGCCGCCATCATCTGTTGTCGCACCATCTGCTGCTGCTGCTGCGGCCCAAACAGCCGCATGTTGTTCTCGGCCCCCCGCATCTGCATGCCCACAAAGTTGGGGCGGACCGGTCCTCCTGGCCCTCTCATGGCCGGCCCCATCATGCCTGGAGCATTGGCCTGAGCGATAGCGTTGGGCATTGACGCTTGGTTCATGCCCGGGTTTCCATCATTGGGCCGCATCACTCCTGGCATACGCGGGTTGACTTCATTGGGCCTCATCACTCCAGGCATCTGCATCTTTTCCGGACCCATTTTGTTAGAGGAGAGCAGGCGGGACTCGTCAAAATTGGGAGGCATTTCATCCAAGATCTTCACTCGGGGAACGGGACCCGGCAACCGTATGGAGTAGTGCCGGTTTCCTAAATGAATGTCCTTCGGTGTGTTGTCAAATTTGACCTCAAACCATTTCCCATCGATGATGATTTCATGAGCCGGCCCACCAAAAGCGATGTACATGGGCCGAGCACCCAGCCGGACTTTCTCTGCCCTGTCAACGGGGATCGTGAAAGGCATTTCGTTGATGAAAATAGTTCTGGGCTCCCCATCAAAACGGATCCCGTGAGGCTTGCCGTCAATTATGATACATGGGATTTTGCTGTCCAACTTCAACTTACAAGATTTGCTGTCTATCAAAATTTGCCGGGGAGGAGCCTGGAAACTTATTTCATGATCGTGTCCACCGATCCGAATCATCCTGGGAGGGCCTCCGTAGGACCCCTTCTCCAGTCTGTCCACTAAAATCATCATGTCTCTTCCGTCTATTTGGAATCCTCGCTTTTCTCCGTCTATCAGAACATTCCTTGGCGGAGCGTCCATCCTCATCTCATGCTGCTGACCGTCCAGCCAGATGGGCTTGGGCAGGCCGTGATAGTACAGGCGCACCATCTTGCCCATGGCCGGCACCTCTTTGATGGGCTCACCCAGCTTGTACACCAAGTTCCCGTCGATGCGGATTCCTCGCTCCTTCAGATCCACAGCAACATCCATCACCTGCCCGTAGATCCTGAGCTTGCGAGAAGTTCCCATGCGAAGCTCAAATGGTTTACCGTCTATCACCAGTTCTTCTGTACCTTCATTCTCCAGAATTCCTTTCATGGCCGCCCACCGCGGGTCGTCCAGAGGGTCGGAAATCTTGGCAGGCGTCATGATGGGCCCACCTGGCGGGGCACCGCTGCCAGCAGGCAAGGGCCGAACGACTTCTGCCATCTGGCCGGGAGGTCCCTGCACTCCTACATTCTCTGCTGGTGGGGAAGGCTCCGGTCCCAGTGGGCCGCCAACTCTGGGCCCTCCTGGCCTGGGTGGGGCACCTCCGGGTCCCGGCATTCTACCGGGATTCTCCAATGGCGGGGCGTTTTCTGGTCGTCCTGGGCCGGGCGCTCGAGGCCCCGGGGGCCTCACAGGCGCCCCCACAGGGCCCGGCATCGCTGAAGCTTCCAACACAGGAGGATTCTCTGGCCTGACGGGGCCGGCAACTCTAGGAGGTCCTGGCCGCGTGGGAGCTCCGGGGTAGCCCGGCTGAGGCCCTGGCTCCTCCCCTGCAGGCCCTTGTGGCGGGGCGTGCTGCCGCGGACCGTCCGGACCTCTGTACGGGCCGTGCCGACCCTCGCTGTCTGGACCGTGCCGACCCTCGCTGTCTGGCCGGCCCCGGAAAGGTGGGGAGCCCCGGTAATTTCTGTTCTCCTCTCTATGATCTGGTCTCCTCCTCTCGTCTGCAGCATCAAAGAACTCGGGTCTACGACGAGGCCCTTCTGGGTAGTCATCGTTAAACGGATCCCTTGGGCTGTCGCGATTTCTTGCCTGGTCTGCGAGTCGTTCGTCGCGAGGCGGCTGTCGTCTGTCAAAATCTTCACCCTGAAAGTCTCGGGGGGAGCGACTGTCATAGTCTTCTCTATCTCGTCTTGGGCGGCCATCAAAATTTCTCTCCCTGCGGGCTCTGCTGTCAATGTCTTCCCTCCCATCTCGGCATGTCCTCAGCATGAACTCCTCTCTGTCTCTAGAGTGGTGGCCGTCGTAGTCTCTGTAGCGCCCCGGAACCCTCTCGTCAAAGTCTCGGGGAGAAACCTGACCTTCGTAATCCCGAGGGGACCTCACGTCAAACTCGCCCGGCGGCCCTCGCCGTCGCTCAAACCCTGGCCCAACCCTTCCATCTGACCTATGACCTTCCCTGGGTAAATGTCTGCCGCTGAAGTCTTCTTTGGGACTTCTCTGAGCCGACCCAAAATCTTCCTTGGGATCGCGATACCTCGGTGAATTACGTACTGGATCATCCGAGCCACTACGAGACTCAAGCAGTGCTCTCTTCCTACCGCCCACATCCGCTGGGTGACCTTTTCTCGACTCAAAATCTTTGTCCGGAAGGAGAGGCCCTCTCCTCTCCTGGTCTCCTCCATACATCCCCCTCCCCTCCCTGCTTCCCCTGAGGCGAGGGTCTCTCAGATCCAAAGTCTTGGAAGAAGAGTCACCGACACTGTGCAGTTTTTTCTGCATGTCGTACACTTGTCCAAGCTGGCGGACAATCTCCTGGTGCTCCGAGTGGCTAATCCGACCGTCTTTTAACTTCTGCTCCGCAGTACGCAAAATCTGCTCTTGGTTGTCTATTGACAGATCCTGAAAAGAAAAATACCAAGATGACGTTTATAATAGCCTAAATCTGAAGATATCAGATGAGCGGGATGATGTCTATGAGACAAAAACACTTGAACTTAATTGGTTACATTTTATTGTCAGAAGTTTTTTCAACATAATCTTCAACATAATATACTCTGTCAATAGCTACAAATGAAGGAACAGACTAATATAAGGAAAACACAGGGTTTAGGGCTATGCCTGTCTTTTCATAGCAACTAACAGAGCACTTGGTTTAGAATATCTGTTTCAGATATTTTGTTGGTCTAAAGAGAGTGTAAAACAAATCATCATCTTCATCTGCCCCTCTCAACCTGATATAAGGTCTAGGCCACCAGGAAGGGCTCTTCACCTGTCTACAACACTCCATAGTGTTACTTAAATATTAAGAAATAAATAGGCACATTTTCAGACAGAAAAAATTTAATTTAAGCTGATAAAAGGGTATAAAAAAAGGATTGTCCACTTTAGCAAGCCACTTCTATGACCCTGTGCAGCAAACCTGTGAGACCAACCTTTAATTTTAGCAAGGTTTCACGGCGTTCACAACTGCATAAGGTCATATGAGCACCAAGGGCTGGATGTGAATAGAACAGAAAAGTCCAAACGGGGAATCAGGATTACTCTGCTCACCTCTCTAGCAACGACAGCACAAAGCCTACTATCAAGGCACCCCGGAAATAGCAGTTCACAAGGGAGTGACAAACATACAAAAGAGGTAGAGGAAAAAAATAATGACGACAATAAGGATGAGGGAAAAAAAAGCAGAAGACCAACCTTTGGTATCGAGACATTGGTCTCCAGGTGAGCGTGAGCCGGAGGCTGCTGCCGTGTGAGGGGTCGCAGGTCAACGTCTTGGACCTGGTTCTCCATGGACTGCATCTGGACGTCCCTCAGTCGCTTCCGCTCCATGTCCTGGGCAAAGTCTGTCGGGTGGTTCTCTTTGAACAGGTTCCATCTCTGCTGAGCCGGGCTCTTCATGCTTGTTGGCGTGACGGGCGACAGCAGACTCTGGCTGGGCATGGGTGGAGGAACCAGTAGCGGTTTGGGGCCTCCGGGCAGGTTACGGTAGTCCACATCCTCCTCCCCAAACAATTTGCTGCAACAAAACAAGTACAGGTTTATCAGACTACATTTCACAGAAGCTGACACATAGATTTAACATCGCAAGTAACATGAAAAGCCTTTGTCTTTTCAAATATTCATTTGAAACAACAGTTTTTTTTCAGTAACCATTCAGCCAAGAAAAATACCATCACAATGTCACAGAGGGGAACATCAACAGAAAGAAAACAAAATAGCTGACAAAAAACAAAGATGATTAATTAATAACATGCCATGTTCTTAACATTTTGTTTCCAAATATTTGGTATGCAATATATTGAAAGGCCAAAGGCTTTCCATAATACTTTTAAGGTACACCATGAAAAACATTCAAGGAAAAAAAAAATGCAATGTATGGGAAAAACTACTGACTTCTACCTGAACATATCAGATTGGCTACTTCAAAACAGTAGGAATCAATCTGACATGTAACTTTTACTAACATTATATTTTCAAAACATACTTTCAATCATTTCAGTTTCAGAAAATCTTCAGCTTTGACACTGTTCCTACTGGAACACTGTACTGAGCTGGTGTATTTCATTCACTGGTGTTCTCTTTTGAACTTTTATTCACAAGCCATCATATCAATCAACTGCTGGCTGACCTATAATACTAACATTAGGGTTAGGCAACGTCACTTGTCCTTGCTTTTTAACTAACAGTATTGTCCAGTTACACACATACACCAGACCAGCAAACAAATTGACCACAGCAACGCACACAGCAAAAGACCCCCCCCCCAATGTGTTTCCAAAAATCTAAGTGGAGAAATTTTCCTCCCCTTTACTTTTTTCACCACAAAGAAACCGCCACCCACACACCAGAAAATATATAATAAGAGCAGTAACTTCCAATACGTAGAAATTAAACTTTTCAAAATTCACACTCAATCCACAGAAGCTTCATTTTTTACACACCTAAAGAGAACAAAATACAGTGGAAATTGTCGAAGATGGCCACTGATTACCAAGAAAAGCGGTTGAAATAAACAGGTGGACCTCTTGGATGGTGTCATTATAAAATAGAAAAAAATAACAGGTGGGGAGGTAGGGTTGAGCAAGTTGGGAGTGTATGTTCACAAATCTCACCTTATATCTTCCTCCTCTTCTCTTGCTTTCTCCGCCTTCTTGGCCTCGGAGAGCTTGGGAATTTTGTAGGGAGGTGGCGCCGACCCCATGTCCTTCTCGCTGTCTTTCTCCGTTTTGGGACGTTTGAGCTGGTTCTCCTGGACTTCCTCCATGTCCTGGTCGCGTGGCTCCAGCTTGACAAGCTGATCGTCGGCCTCCTCCACAGCCTGGCTGGCCTCTGGGACGACACTTGTTCCTTTCGTTCCCTCTGTGACCGTCTTCTCCATCCTCATGTCTGTGTCCTCCTGCTGGGGCTCCTCCTGTGATGCTGGCTCTTCCTTCAGTCTCAACTCAGCCACAACCTCCTCCTCCTCCATCTTCTCTCTCTCCTGCTTCACTTCTGGCACTTTGTCACTCACAACCTCTTCACATTCTTCTGTCCCGCTTTGCATTTTCTCAGCTTTGTTGACCTCTTCAACAACTTTCTCTTCACACAAGTTTTCTTCCATTTCATTTTCCTCTTTCTTCTCCTCCTCAATATCACTCTGTGACACATACACATCATCTTTCTCCATCTCTGAATTTTCTACTTTCACATGCTCTTCTGTTCTGGCCCCAGCTTTTGTGTCAGTCTTCTCCACAGGTTTCTTTGACTTGGCCACTACTTCCTTGTCGTCAGCCACCCTGTCTCTGTCTCTCTCGATGGGAGACCTATCCCTGCTGTTGGAGCTACTGGGGCCCTTATCGAGTTCCGTGCGAAGCATCCGACCAAACTGGTCTGTCTTCCCGTCCGAAGACATGATGACGGGAACCTCGCCCCGACCGCGCTCCTTCCCCCGGCTGTGGCTGGGTCTGGGGTCCCTCGGGTTGACTCTCCTGTAGTCTGGGGGAGAGCGCCGGAAACCTCTCCTCGGGCTTCTCCTCCCACTCTCCGGCGCCGCTGTCCGTTTTTCCCGACTGTCTCTCCTCTCGGCCGAGCGTTGACCGTCGAGATCTTTGGGCTCCCTCCTGTCCTTGTCTGTTTTCTGCCCCTGGCTCCATCTGCCGCTGTCTTTGCTAGAGTCCTGAGGCTTGTCGTCTTTCAGAGGGTCGAAACTTTTGCCTTCTTTGCCGCTGTCCTGAGGCTTGACCTTCCCGGAGTCCTGGGGCCTGTTGTGCTTCCCGGAGTCAGGAGCTTTGAGGTCCGAGGCAGGACTCTTCCTGTCTTTGACCATCTCCCGCGACCGGGGCTCTTTGGACGAGTTCTGAGACTTGACATCTTTCCCACTTATCTTTCTCTCTCTCTCTTTGACCTTGTTATCTTTTGCTGGCCTAGGATCCTTAGCTCTGTCACTGTTACTCTTCTCAACTTTGACCTCCTTGTGCAGTTCTTTGCTGGAGACTGGTGCCTTGGACACCTGCTCTTTTTTCATGCGGGGATCAGGCTTTGGTACCTTGGTGGGCGACACGGGCGGGGCGGGGAGATTGGGTTTTTTCTTGGACTGCTCCGCCACGACTTTGGCGGCCGCTGTGGTGAAAGAGTTGAGCAACGTGGCTAGATCCATTCTGGGGGAATGTCCCGAGGCAGAGGGAGCTGGGGGGTCCGCTGGGGCAGTAGCCGTGGCTCCCGCGGGGGGCAAACTCTCCACCTGTGTCACATGTGCCGCTGTAGGGGGGGGCGTCAGTGACACCACCGCCATCTCCTCCTCCTCCTGCTGCAGCTGCTGCTGTCTGGCCTGCTCTTGTTTCTCCAGCTGTTTCTTGAGGCGCGGGTCCCGGTTGAGGCGCGGGTCCCTGTTGAGGCGAGGGTCTCTGGACACAGGCTTGGTGGGCGGAGCCGCCTTGGTGGAACTCACGGGAGGCAGTGCGATAGACGCCGGCGGCTCTCGGGACACAAACTTTTTCCCGGCCTTCTGGATGGCAGCAAGTTGCTGTTGCTCTAGCTGGAAGAGAAAGACAAGAACAAAACAATAAATAACTAAATAAATCTTTTACTTTCAGTCAGAGTTTTACAGCACTTGTTACACAATAAGGTCGAAGATTAGATGTGTTACAAGAGAGAGTAACAAACACAAAAAAGAAGGAGGGGAGATAAAGACGATAGATGTTTTTTAGGAAAGAAAGAGCAAACCACACCAAAGCACCCACAAACCTCTTGCAAGCTTGAATTTGAATAAAACTGAAACTAAAACAAAAGCGAAGGGGGGGGGGGGAAGGAAAGTAATGAGAAGAGGAGAACCAGTCCGCTCTACTCTACAAGCAAACTAAACACATGACGTCTCAAGTCTCACCTGCTTCTTCTGCTGCTCCAGTCTGGCCTTGGTCTCCGCAAGTTCTAGCTCCAGGCGGAGAGTCTGAATCTCTTTTTCTTTGGCCAGCAGCTCCTCTTTCCACTCATCATTTCCTGGGCTGCTTCTCTCGGACTGCACCGGGCTGAACTGTGGACTCTTATCCTTGGGCTGCTGGAAAAGAAAAATGTCCAGACTAGATTAAAAACCCATTAGATTTGTAACATGTTTTCAGAAATCTCGTCTTCATTCTCCGCAGACCGCTGTTACATGACCAGCCAAGCACTGTAGTGTCTCCCAATCAGTCCACCCTGGACAGGACATGTGAAGTGACTACAGTCGACTCCTCTTGTGTTGAACTGACTGGAGTTGATCTTCAGTCACGTTGACCTTTTCCTCGGGGTACTGGTACTAGCACCCCCTCCTCACTGTCAAATTCAAACGGTAATGTCCAGTTTAACTCAAACGTTTGAGTTGAAGTTGAAGACCATTGAAGTGCTTTTTTATCCCTGGCTGCAAGTGTACTATGGTTGGATTTGTGTGTGTGTGCGCTTGTGTTTGGTCAAATATTTCACAGTAGGGATACTTAACGTAACCATACAATCCTACGTTGTATCTAATACGGGGTGCCCACTACGGATGGGATCGGCCGGCCGATCGGGTCGATTGCCCAACTCGGTCGCCTAAAAAAACAAACGTGTTTGTTTTGAGTTTCAGGCGATCGAGTCGGGCGATCGGCCCGATCCAGCTGTAGTGGGTACCCCGTATTAATCGAAACGCAATAATAACCATGTTTGTTGCCACTTCCCCCTCAAGGTCAAAGGGCATGGCACACCACAAGACAATGAGCAATACAGTAAAACCTCAGCACATTGCTCTCGGTTGAATCAGTTCTCTCTGCTGTAATGTTTGCTTTCTCAAGTCCCGAATCCCAGTTTGTATTTTCACTCTTTAGACAATAAGCTATGCCCAACACGTACCTCTTGGTTAAACCTAAGCTACTCTTTTTTCCTATGACTTCACTTTTTCAAGGGATTTTAATGTGATCTAAAGTTCGTTTACAACGGACGATGTGCACTGATTTTGAGAAAATAGAAAATGGGGGGAAAAAAGCAAGTTTTACAGTACTCCGAAATACAATGTTATCTGCATACGTTGTGTCGTTTGTCCGCCAGTAAGGGCTTGGATCTGTCTCTCTCTCTCTCTCGCTAACACACACACACACAGACATACATACTCGCAGTGATTAATAAAATTATTAATGATTGCTCTGTCAGTTTCATTTTTACAACATTGGGCCTAAAATTTCAAATATGAGCCAAGAAAAATAATTTGTTATGTCCCTTGATTTAGTGATCCCGACATTTAAGTTGAACTTCTGATGAGTTGACATTTTTTTCACTCCCCCAACGACATCAACTCATCCGTAGCCGACTGCATCAAACCTCAAACCGAACCTGGATTACTGCTCAACTCAACACAAAGCCGTGTAACATCAAATTCTTGTTCATGCCAGATGATTTCAACCCCCATCCCCTCCCCCCTCTTTATTCAAGGCGTGGCAATCTTAAAACATGGTAAAAAAATTCCAGCAGAGCTGGTTAACACGAAGAAATTTTGGGTCGTAGATCACTCCTCCCAGCTAACTGTCCCACTTTCTATTCTTTTTTTAGTCACTGAAACCGAAGACGACCGTTGTCACTACCCATATGTTCAGTTGAAGGCTAATCCACATGACCGAATCCAGTTTCCCCATTTTCTGTCCCACTTCCTGAGTTCCTGAGCGCAACCGGAGGTGAGAGAGTGGCGTTGTTTCGCAAAACAGACAGACAGACGAGACACTGAGAGGCTGACAAAGATCCCTAGTTCAGTGTGTGAACGTCCAATCTGTTTGTTTAAATTTTCATATATTAAAGAAGCTATGTTCATGATGCGCGTCCAATACTTTTCTAAAAAAAATTGTTAAAGTTGTAAAATTGAACAGTGGCAGGGAAACCCCCCTTAACCTCATTCTGTGCGTTCTTGGCATCAATCCCAGGCTGAGCCCAAAAATGAGGCGCGGGGGTGTTGTTTGTTTGTTGACTAAACAGGTTTACACAAGGCTATGCAGCAAACATTTGACTTCTACAGCAAGGAAGGAGTCGTCTCCCCTTTTATTCTCTTCTCATTAGCACCCTGGCTGCTTGACAAAAAGAAATTCTCTGGTACCATACAGTTTGTGATACTGATATCAGGGATTTACTGTACCGGTACTGTACTTTTCTCAAACCAATGTTTGTCAGTTCAGAGAAACAGAATCCTCTTCTTCAACTTTCACGCGTCGACTTCACTTTCGGTAGCAGCAAGTGTTTTAATAATTTCATTGCCATTGGCCGGCAATGGTTTTGTCATGTATCATGCGTATGTGTACAGATGTAGTCAAAAAACGCAGATGCCATGTGCTGTGTGGAGACAGACATCATGTAGACAAGGAGAACAAAACTAAAGAAGGGTAAGTTCTATCTATCTAGTATCTACGGGTACAGTGGGTGTGGACTGAGGACGCCTGTAGGAAGAGCAGCAAATGGAGAATCTGCACCAGATTGAACTTCTTCCTTTCTGCAACAGATGACTACTGGGCCATTTCTCCAAGCAATCCTTTGTCTTTCGTACAATTGAGAATTAGCGATAGTCCAGTACGGATGAGTTGATGTCAGAGATGTGAAGAAAAAAAGATCAACTCATCAAAACAAATAACAAAATATAATTGACCAAGGCCTAAAAATAATACCATTTTCAAAATCAGCCAAATTCAAGTCAGGAGCGAAATTTGATGCTGAATAACGAAGTTATGTTTCATTGTAATTGTATGTACTCTTCTAGCTAATCTAACTACACGACACATTGTATTGTGTTCGATTGCAATACACTACATCATTGTAGTTATCTGTTTCGCCTGAAATCTACAAGACAAGGGCGGGGAGGAAGTAAATCTGCGAAAAGCGTTTGACTTGGACATTGGCTTAGCTCGTAGAGACATGTATGCGTGAAGGAATGTCAAGCAACCACCGAGTGGATGTGCCGTGTGCCATGTGTAGCCGAGTGTGTACTGTGTATTTCTGGTGGTACAACTGCATAAATTTACAAGTGGTTTAATAAGGACAGTACCACAGAGACAGTTGGCGGATGGCAGTGTTACGGTGTATATACTGTGTTTATAAATTATATGGAGGATTCTTTTCGTTCATAGGCAAAACCTAGTGGCTGGTAAGTCGGGCTGGCGGTACAACGGGGAGAGGTACAAGGTTTGCCCGTATACCGGTATGCTCAAAAAAGGTTTAAAAAAGTACTTCACCACAAGTGTATACATTGAGTTGAACTCACCATAACCGTTTGAATTTAACAAATATGTATAAAGAGGAAGAGATGCTGGGATTGAAGAAAAAAATACCCATAGGCCAGCAATGACTCGGCCCATCCAACCACGCTATTTCAACACATTAAGTTTAAGTATAATTAGGTCACCCTCTGTGATGAGGCAGGAATCTGTCCACTAATCAGACTTTTATCCGCAAGTCCCTGATGATTCTATCTAACACCGCATAGGCTAAGCTACTGTAAGGTGGGGATGTCCTGACACTTTCTGATGGTACTTTACTGGCAGGAAGGGGAAGAGACAGTGACCTCACACCTGCTGCTGGCTGGCCAGGACACACTGTGTACACTTAGGCGGCCACACAACCAGGGATCTGGCCTCAAGTCTCCAAAACTGCTACTTGTGTGGACATTTCATAAAGCTGGCTGCTCGTGAGAAATATTTAGGCAGCAAAAATATTTTGCCATCAGCTCAGAGTAGAGTAAAATGGTGGGGTACTAAAATTATTTTTTTTAAATGTGTTACACTTCACTTCAAACTCCCTTCCACAGTCAAATTTACCATGAAATTGAAAACAAACACCCAGCTGGTTTGATGATAAACCCCAGCATGAAATAAAACCCTCTACATCCTATGTCAACTGTACCGTACTATAAATTAACCAGACAAAATGGCAATGTCCCCAGATGTGACTGTTGTATGTGAATGTGGTAAAAGATAGAGCCAGGCTGAGGCTGGAGACTGGGCCAAGGCATTGACCGGCTTGTGTCTGTTGGCTCTCGCGTGTGTGTCGCGCGACTGTTGCACAGTGTCAGTGACATGAACACACGCTCACTTTAGCAACAAAGTAATCAATTAACATAAACAACATTACACTTAAACAGAGACCAAACTACAGGAGGAAGTCGAACCAAGTCAAGAATAGTCTAAACATTTTATTTTATTGCAACAACATTTATTGAAAAAGAAAGGCATCATTGGTTGAAGATCTCACACAAAAGATTTAAGAGCCTGTTGACTGTTGGGGCCATTTGAAAGCAAAAAAATATAATATATAAAAATCCCCTATTCTTCCTTACCCCCCACGTACTGTTTGCATACTCAACTAGCAGTAAGTCCTCCAAAGTGCTCTCAATGACTAAGAAGTTATTTACAACATGTTACACACAGCTACAAGTGTTAAACAATTATTTGCAAAGAAGTTGCATAGTTTCTGGTATAAAAATTCCAGTACTGGTAAATCGCAGAAACACTACAGTACAAAATCCCTTTGAAACTGCAAAGACAATCTCTAGGATTTGTTAAAAAATGAAAGACTAGATTTCATTTGAGCAGCAAATGAACGCTGTACTCGGGTCACAGGAGTGACACCTATAGAGTATAGCTTATAAAGACTAGATCAAGCGCCTTGTGTAAATAAATTACTTTGAAAAACTTGGGGCTGACATTAATGATAGTCTGGAAACTAATCACGCAGTCTCGAGACTAATCACGCACCTAACATATGAACAAACAAAATGAACCCCGAGACAAATTACCTTGAGAAACTTGAGGTCAGGAGACTGGCTATCAAACACCTAACATTATATGAACAAACAAAATGAACCCTGAGACAAATTACCTTGAGAAACTTGGGGTTGACATGTATGACAGCCTGCTCTGGTGGCTTGGCGGTGACGGGCCAGGCGGGGTCGATGGTCTGTACTCTGACGTCTAAGGCATAAAGTCGTTTGCTGGGCAAGATGTCTACCCACGTCTGCCTCAGCTTGTACAGCTGCGTTCTGGTTTTCTCATCTACCTGTGATCCAGGAAAGGCCACACAAAGCTGTATACTTGCAGTCACATTCAGTGCTTTTTCTCTCTCCAAACTTTTATTACTAGTTTTGACTCTAACGGTACATCAAGTTCAAGTATGGACATTGAACAAGGTACATTGATTCAATGATGAGAACACACAAGTTTGTAGAGCAAAGTCTGCTCCACACTTGCAAAATGTCAGAGTTCTTTTTTAACCGACAACTATAAAGTTGCCAGCATTATGATGAACTCATCAGTCATGCACATTACATCTACTGAACTTTAAACAGTAAATGATGCAAAAGATAGACCAGTACACATGTGTACCCACCAGCTCCTCATCAACTCGTCCACTATCCCACAATTCAAACAGTCAATAAGAGCCAGGTACAGACATCAGGTGCCTGCACAAAGCTAATGGTGGTGAAAGGCAACAGTTCGCGACCTCAGTGCTTTCTTGTCGTATCTCCATTTTTTTTAAACAGTGAAAATGTGACTTCTTCTTAAACTCACTTTCTGTAATGAACTGTTTTCACTGCTTCTAAAAATGGAGATACGACAAGAAAGCACGCGAGTTACTGGCGGTGACAAGCAACAGAGCAAAGAAAGTTGACTCATGACACCAGGCGCAGTTGTTTAGTGTTTTAGTAAGAGTTTTACGGCACTTGCAACACAATAAGGTCATACAAGTGCCAAAGAACAGCGGTGTTACAAGAGAGTAACAAACACAAAAAAGGAGGAGAGATCAGGACGGTAGATGTTTGATAGGAATGAAGAAGCAAGCAACACCAAACGACCCGCCAACCACTCACGGACGCAGTTGTAACAACCCGTACCCTACTATTCTGTCAATTACCCCTTCAGCGACTCACTTGCCAGAGACACATACAGACCAAAGGAATGCCAGACGTTACAAATACGCTGGCTCTAAAGTAAGCTGACGCAACATACTGTAGTTTATTTTGAACATGGAGAATTAATCTCTCTCCTCCTCCCCAGTTTAGCTCCAAATGTTCAGGAGGGTCAATAAAAATCCAGCACACACTTATTTTATAACTCCGGGGTAAGCTTTCAAGTATTTTTAGAAGTACAGTCAAGCCTCGTTATCTGTCCCTAATTTGCGCCATAATGAACAAGATACTGTAATTTTTAGGCTCTGGCTAAAATCTAATATATTTTTTAAAAATTAGAATGAAAATTTTAAGTTGCTGGAGTAACTTCAAAGAAATCGCCAGACATCAGCCTTAAAATTACGGTACTGAAAACCAAAAGGTTGGCGGGCACCCCTGAGGCTTTAATTGTGAAGATCCACGGTCTTAAATATCTTATGGTGCTCGTAACTGCATTATAAGGTCATATGAGCACGAAGGACACATTAACTTTCATTAAAAAGGATTTTCACTGTGGTAGAAAGCAATTTTGAATTTTGCCCAGGTGGCAGCCGAAGCCTATTCTTTATCGATTTTGAACTACCAGGGAAACTTTAACGAGGGCAACTTGCACTTGTGACCAAGATTTTTCACCCTGATCCGAGAAGGCTAGATGTTAAATCTGACTTCTACCCCAAGATCAGGGGTATGTCTGAAAGACAGCAATCAGGTTTCGAACCCAGGACCTATTGAATGAAAGGCGAACACCGTACCTGTAGGCCACGAGATCTAGATGAGGTAAGACTGGTCAGTTTGTCGCTTGTCTTCAACAGTTTACCACTATTCAAGATGGCCATCGGTGCTAACCCATTATACCGCCAGCTTTATTGATGGTCGTCCCAAGGTAGGTAGTATAGTATAACGAGTTTTGACTGTACTTTTTTTTAGTAGGAGTTTTAGGGCGCTCGCAACAGCATACGGTTACATGAGCGTGAAACAAGTTGGTAACATTCACAAAAATTCACAGTTCTGACTTGGTTTAGGTCAATATTTCGATTTAAATTATTTGACTGTACAACTTTTGAAATCAAATTTAAAACTTGTCAACAGCACCACTCGAAGCTGTCATGAACCTGAGCTACGGCAGCCCATAACATGCAATAAGTGCTAAAAATACATGGAAACACCTCGTCAAAAAGGTGCTTGCGGGAAAAACGCAAAGGCAGCAACAACACATAACTTTGATGTCCAGCAACGGCCACAAAACATGGTGCTGCAGGTGGCAAGTTTAAGACCCCTGGTCAAACCCTCAACCGTGTCAGTCCAGGTTTGGCAACTACCTCTCTGTGTCCACACCATACAGCAAACAGGCAAAATAGTGCAACACAAAAATATGCAACTCCTGAAGTTAGAAGATCTGCAAAGTGTCAAATTTGCTGGCATTTCTTTGTGATACTACTATACTAAAAGTGACTTGTGCGTGCACAGCCTTTTGTGTTGGCCTGATGTTGGCAGCCCATAACATGCAATAAGTGCTAAAAATACATGGAAACACCTCGTCAAAAAGGTGCTTGCGGGAAAAACGCAAAGGCAGCAACAACACATAACTTTGATGTCCAGCAACGGCCACAAAACATGGTGCTGCAGGTGGCAAGTTTAAGACCCCTGGTCAAACCCTCAACCGTGTCAGTCCAGGTTTGGCAACTACCTCTCTGTGTCCACACCATACAGCAAACAGGCAAAATAGTGCAACACAAAAATATGCAACTCCTGAAGTTAGAAGATCTGCAAACCCTCAACCGTGTCAGTCCAGGTTTGGCAACTACCTCTCTGTGTCCACACCATACAGCAAACAGGCAAAATAGTGCAACACAAAAATATGCAACTCCTGAAGTTAGAAGATCTGCAAAGTGTCAAATTTGCTGGCATTTCTTTGTGATACTACTATACTAAAAGTGACTTGTGCGTGCACAGCCTTTTGTGTTGGCCTGATGTTGCCCCCCCCCCCCCCCCCAACATGACCAATTTTTGGAAGTCGGAGAAGAAAAAGTGATCCAGGCAGAAAATTTGGGACAATGCATGACAACCACAACCCTCTGGACCTGTGCGTGTTCACTGTTGAATGCAATTTTTTTTTTACCGATGCTGAGTGCAGTAAGAACTGCAAGCAAAAAAAAACCCACAGTACGTGTCAACGCACTAAACAACTTGCAACAAGGCAATGCACACGTGTTCAAATTCAAAGCAAAAGCAAAAGACCTACAGCAGGCTCCACAGAGTATTGCATGTGTCGCGTTCAGGGTAGGGGAGTTCAACTTCTCTCGGTACCGTGCATCCTATTTGAACCTGGCCGAGTTAATGACCACTGACAGCAGCAAACCGACGAGTACGTATGTGTACGTTTACAAACTGTGCTACAGCAGCAGACCATGGGATAAAGCTGTCCCAGCCTCTGTGACTTCCTCCATGAGTCAGAAAGCTTGCGTTTCAGTCCTGTGTTGCCGCCATATATATGATTACGATTTGTTCTAAAACCAATGCACGTTCTTTGTTCTGATACCCATCAGAAAAAAAAATACTTTGGTTGCGGACACAACACTAATAATACATTCTAAAGACTAAAAATGACGGCAGTGGCAAGACATAAAGCTAAGATCTAGATGCCACGGAACACGCACACAAGGAATGAAATATGACACAGCACACATAAACACAAACATATTGTGAAAGTGATGGTAAGAAATCTGTGTGCGGCTAGTTGTCACCCAATAGCCGTGTAGTGTGTGTGTTGTTCTCTGCCAGGGCCTTCTGGTGGGTACAGAAGTGACTAGTCCAGTGTTGCAACTTCCCTCAAAGATGGTGGGTAAAGAGGTGTCTTGTCCGGTAACTTCTCTCAAAGATGGTGGGTAAAGAGGTGTCTTGTCCGGTAACTTCCCTCAAAGATAGTGGGTACAAAGACGACTAGTTCAGTGTCTGAACTTCCTTCAAAGACAGTGGGTGCAAAGGTGACTAGTCCAGTGTTGGAACTTCCCTCAAAGATGGTGTGTACAGAGGTGACTAGTCCGGTAACTTCCCTCAAAGATGGTGTGTACAGAGGTGACTAGTCCTGTGTTGGAACTTCCCTCAAAGATGGTGTGTACAGAGGTGACTAGTCCCGTGTTGGAACTTCCCTCAAAGATGGGTGTGTACAGAGGTGACTAGTCCTGTGTTGGAACTTCCCTCAAAGATGGTGGGAACAAAGACGACTAGTCCAGTGTCTGAACTTCTCTCAAATCAAAGATGCAGCAACCCACAGGCTACAACTGCTGCTTCCCACTTCTCTCACATCTTGTAAATTTCTACCTATCATCTCAAATTTCTCAGCAACTGACGGACACATTTGTGCCCTTGTGCAAAACAAAAAAAAAGATACTTTATAAAAACTCTGGCACAGGTGTGCATCAAACACCTAGCCAGTAAAGCTGTACCCATCTGACTTTAGGCATACTACTCAACAGTGTCCATTTGACTTTACTATTCAACATTCACAATTTTTGCATGATTTACTGCTATTCAAAGCATGGATCTGATAGATTGATTGAGTAGATCTAGGTGTTTTACGGCACTATCGACCCAATTTTGGTCATCAAAGCATGGAAAAACCGTTCGAATGTCGAATGATGTTTTGATAGATCATGGATTTGCGCCTCATTTTCTTTTCCCCTTGCTATAGATCAAAACGAGAGTCAATTTTTTTGCTTCATAATCCGGTTGCTGTAAAAGGAAAAGATTCCAAATCCCTGCTGGTTTCTTTTTCCTCTTTATTTTAAACAAAAGCAACTTCACTAAACACCGACAAACTCTCTGATCCCATGAAGTTGGTGTTATCGCTGTTTTACTAGATTTAACATAACATGTACCAGAGTTGAAACATAAGGTGGGAGCGAGACAGAGCTCTACAAACTTCTTTCACTCTACACTTGCATGTAGGGGACAAGAGAAGAACAAAAGCAGTACATTTTTCAACAAACAGTAACTGCATGAACAAGCTCACACCGGCCCACCGCCGGGACACAAAAGGCACGACACGAGAGAGAGAAGAAGAACAGCCTAACTGTATGCGATAGGAAAAAAACACAAAAAGACCCAAGATTGCTTTCGACAATCAAGCGAGAGATGGGGAGCAGTGCCACTCCAATCAGACAGTTGCACACAGCGGTGAGCACAATTCGCAGCACAGCCCATACAACATTGAAAATTTTTCAACTTCATCGAAGATAAAAAGGCATTGACAATATCCAAAGCTCCAGCCGGGCTGTATTTAAGTTGAAGCTTAGTCGGAAAGCTCAGTCACAGATTTCCTACGGTTTGTCTGCTCAAAAGGGAGTTTCGTTTTAGAAACGCAACACACAGGAAGCACACATACGGTAGTTTCCAAGTTTTGTCAGTTCTCCGATACTTTTCATAAAATAGTCAGCTACTGTCAACACTCTCTCTACATTTGGCTTTCCACGTTATCCAACTGGATTCATTTCAAGCAAAAACTGGCGTACAGTTATTTTTTTAAAAACTGGTCTTTTCCATATAAGGGAGTTTCCAGGAAAGTAGCACATGCAAAACAGTAATGTGCCATCATACACTACACATACAGGACAAACAAACGACACCAAAGCTACAACACTTGCATAAAGCAAAAAAATTAAACAAGATTTGAAATTATGCTTCTCAACGGCAATACAAAACAAAAAGCTCAAAAGTGTACTGGTAGTGAATTATCCACAACAAAAAAAATTCTTCACTAAACCTGTCTTCAGTTCTCAAGACAATCATTTAAGTACTAAAGAAAATATAAACCTATAGACGCAGAATCAGACATTGAATGCACGGGAAAATGTCAGTTCTCTAGTTTTTGAAAGAGTTTTACTGCACTGGCAACACAATAAGTTCATATAAGTGCCGAAGATTGGAGGTGTTACAAGAGAGTAACAAACAAAATAGAAGGAGGAGAGATAAAGACGACAGATGTTCTTTTTAATTTTAGTAGAGGTTTTACGGCGCTCGCAACTGCATACGGTCATATGAGCATTTTTGTTGAGATCCTTTCGTGTAGAACTCAAAATGTGTCAATTTTCTTTTACAAAAAAGAACTTCCCAACTACCAAAGAGTTCTAAACCTTCAGCCCTCGAATTCTCTAGTAAGTAGCAAGACGACAACCCTAGAGACCACAATGTGGGCCAGTGTGAGGATCGACCCAAGACATCTCTCACCAGATGGGCTATGTGACGCATCACGTGTGACAAACTAACAGGTTCCCGGGACCTAGAACTTGCTAGAAGGTGGAGCACAGGGTCCACTTGTATTAGGGAGGGAGGGAGGGAGGGAGGGAGGTAGGGAGGGAGGGAGGGAGGAAGGAAGGAAGGAAGGAAGGAAGGAAGGAAGGAAGGAAGGAAGGAAGGAAGGAAGGAAGGAAGGAAGGAAGGAAGGAAGGAAGGAAGGAAGGAAGGAAGGAAGGAAGGAAGGAAGGAAGGAAGGAAGGAAGGAAGGAAGGAAGGAAAGAATCTCTGGGTGTAGTAGTGTAGGTTTCTGCAACAACTGGAAAGAGTGGCGGCGGCTGCAATTATTTCCTTCAACATTAACTCCCAAGTGTTAATTAAATGGCAACTCAAGCCTTTATTAAAATTCTAATGTTCGTTTGTTTGAGTAAAGAGAAGAACATTCAGATAATAATTGTCATCTAATGCTTGAAAAAAGTAAGACAGACAAACATGACAAAGTGAAGGAAAAGAAATAGGACCTACCAGTGGCACCCTCTAACCACCCGCATCAAACACCTAACAAGACACACAAATCTTTTATTTGAAAACCCATGAACTAATCTATACAACACAGAACACACAATTGGAATCAAAGAAATGTAAGGAATAAAGGAATATTGCGCGAATAAATAAATTCTCAACGAATATATGTTTCTTCCCAGGCCCAAGACAGACGCGAACCGGTGTGTCAAAAAGTTTTAGTACAGTAAGTTTTACTTGTAACACAAGTAGGCAATATAAGTTTTACTTGTAACACAAGTAGGCAATAAGTTTTACTTGTAACACAAGTAGGCAATATAAGTTTTACTTGTAACACAATTAGGCAATATAAGTGCCTAAGAGGTGTGGCTGAAGATTAACATACGGTACAAAGAAAAGGCGGACAAGAGATAAGGAACCCAAGATCTATGGTGTAACAGTTGGTCGGTTCATTGTCACAAAGGAGACCTGAGCTCTATTCCAAAGTAAGGAGAATTTTTATCAAGAGTCTTGTCTTTCTACTGGGACGTTGTGTTGGAAGCCCATCTCCTAAAATTATAATCTTAATTGTGTCCAATTGGGATGTAAAAACACCTACAAAAATACAAGAGAGAGAGAGAAAGAAGACATATTTGACAGGAAAGAAGGAACAAACGATGCCACAACACCTACCAACCACCTACTCGCTTAAAAGAAGGAACAGTAGGCTTCGTATAACATGAACTTCCTGCTACCACTTTCTATGCATTGCAACTTCCCTACCACCACCACGAATGTGCTCAACATAAAGAAATTCTGTGGTCCTGGGAAGTTTGTGTTATCAAAGATTTCCTGTACAAGCATAGGTATCACACACATTGAATCAGTGAATGTCTCTAATCACAATCTCCCATTTTTTTCTTTTTTTTCTTTTCAAACCAACTTGTAAATTGAGAGACTGAAGATTCCATAGCACAGACATGAAATATTTCTACATGATACAAACACAAATAATCAACACCTACCACAGCTTACATAAAACAGAAGCACAGCAACACCTTTCTTAAAATTGTGAATGAAAAACGTTAAGATTTCTCTGAGAAATGATTAAATAATTTGTCCAGCACGTAGGCCTACATAGCGAAATAAGCGGAATGTCGAAATTTTTAAAATTATAATGTATATAATGAATTTTGTAAGTAGGTCTGCTTAGTTAAAAAAAACAAAAAAACCCAAGTGAACTTCTGAACCGACACTGGCCACCCCACCCCTGCATGCTGGACCAATGTAACCTCAGTCAAAAGATCTTTTGCAAACACTAAGAACTAAAAGGATAACTATAAACATATAAGATAAAAAATCAAAATTGATGACTACCTCTTCAAACACTCCACAAAATATGTCAACAATGTGGTTAGCAAAAATCATTGGGTACGACGTCCCGGGCAGGTTCTTTATTATGGAGTCAACCAAATACATAATGGGCAGCTTCCGGGTAGCCGAGACCTGTTTAACGATAGCAAAGAAACAAAAATGTCAAATGAAATGCAATGTCTTGAAACTGGCTCCAGATATGCTTTCATCCAATACCGGCACAAGCGTAAGTAACACTGTTCAGAACCTCAAACTGAAAAGAGAAATAGAAAACTGGAAAGAAATAAAAGCATGTCTTGAGATTGCAACGGTAAGTATATCCTCACAACTACAAAGTACTGAGTTAAAGGAACATTTATTCTACTATCGAAAGGACAAGTTCAATCTCAAAGGGCAAAATCTTACCTGATCTGACTTCTTGATACAACTTACCTGTTCCGACTGACCTCCCAAAGGTTTCTTTCCTGGACTGTTAGCTCAATACAACACACCCAGTCCTCAGCACCACTGGCTCACGTCCACACTAATCTGACTGCAGTGTTGTGCTTTGCCCAATAAACTCTCCGGGGTATTTTTTGGATTACTTAAGTTTTCAGGGAGTAAAAGAGGATCAGGTACAGGTTGTGATCCTACTGTGCCACCAGAACAGCAAGAAGATACACAGAAATAGCAGAAGAAAATCATTACAGGATAAGATGTAGTTTGAAAGCATTCTTCGCCAGCAATCTCCTGTCACAATATGTGCACAACCATCAGTTTGGAAGCCTTTCATTTCCCAATAGATTTATCCTTTTCCTCATAACTTGCCAACCTCAGTGTAGCCAAACTTCCAAGGAAAAAGACAGTAAAATACATTCCATTTTATATAATCAATTGTACTTGATGCCCTTAGCACTAAAATTAGTTTCATCAAGATGGGCCAGTGTCTGTAAACACACTAAACAGAGCTGTGACAACATTCTTTTTTTTCTCAAGTGGAATAAAATGGATGCAGTGGTAACTTGTCATTTCCTCTCAGGAACATTAACGTGTAGGAATACCATTAAGTTGCAACATTCTTGTTATCTGGGGTTCGATTCACAGCAGTATTTCCAAAAACTAGGACTGACTGATGAGCAACAACATTCTTTGGGTTATGATGGCTAACTGCAACCATCATTCTCACAAGCTTCTTGGGCTCCATTTTCCCTCTCCACATGTCTTTGAAGAAGGGTTCGTTGTATGGAGAAGTAAGAAGCATGTGGGTTAAACCAAAAAATTTACTGTGAAACTGGTGACCTTGAGTCCATAGAAAAAGAAGATGAAGAACACAAAGAAGAAGAAGACGAAGAAGAAAAAGACGAAGAAAAAGAAGTAGAAGAAGAAGACATATACTTGTGCTACAGGCAGCTCTTAATGTTTCTATGCTCAACACACATTCCTCAGACTTGTCAGAAAGTTCACGCAGTTAGAAACATTCATTCAATCACAGGCCTGTTCACAGTGCTGTGCAATTACAGCTGTAGATTTAACTGAACAACAGATATTCCCTATACACTATAGTCTATCTATGTACTTAGTACAGAAACAAGAAAACCTTGAAAATTTAATTTCAATGATAAACTGAATTCACAGAAGCGTAAGATGAAAATTTTGCCTTCTGACTTTTGCTAAAGATTAGTATGATCTGTGCAAAACTGAATTGAGCAAAAGGAAACTGATGTAAGGTGTTGCATCAGCTGTGCAGCAGATCACTATTGTGCATCTGTTGACCAGATAAAACAACAGACTCCACCACTCAAGTCATTTCAACTGTGTTCTTATTCTGTCAAATCTGAGTGATGCATGCTAAGCTTAGTAACCTATTCTTAGGAGGATTGTGGCAGCCCCATTCTAATAATACAATTAAGCTTTGAGATCCGAGCTTTCAACAATTTGTGCAGCCACTTGTGTCCAAAGCATTTCTTCAAATCCTTTTATAATTGACTATGATACACTTGAACGTCAGCGTTTTTTAAAGAGTGTTCCGAATTGGTGATGCTTAAAATTAAACAAAAAGAATGCATAACTTTTGAGAATATTGACAAGCTAATACTTCAAAGTGTTGGGTTGTTTTTTCAAAGAGGAGACAATAGAATTTTCATTTGAAATTTCTGGACAATCTTGACCAGCCTCTTGTCATTGTCCCAGTCCCAAAAGTCGAAAAAGAAGAAAAACTCTTTAAAAAATTATAGCATATTCCTGTTATACGCAAAGACTAAAGTTGCCACAGTATTCAATTTGCATTGTCTTCATCAGGCTATAAGTAATCTGCTGGAGTACTGCTAGCATTGGAGCAGATTTGATGACCCTTCAGGTGGACATTCCATGAAGAACTCTTAGACACTGGATGCAACGTGTAACTAAGGCCTTGTGTACCCTAAAGTCACATGACACATTTCCAAATTATAAACTTTATAGGTGCCGTCAACCCTCTTGTGTTGATAGGATTATTTCCTCCCAAAAAGTCACCAGACAAAAACGCAATCAAAACAGAGAACGGAGCCTCAAAATAAGGCACCGAAATTGCACCTACTTAAACACTTTTGACTGACAGGATCATGCTTTGACTGCAAATAGAGGGGGAGCATTCAAAAGAACACACCATTTATTAAGACCATTTCCCATCCAACATATTCACTGACCTCGCAATGGTTTCTCTCTAAGTGTCTTGGCAAAACACAAGAAATCCGTCCACTTTTTCAAACCTTGAAACTTTCCCCCAAACTTCCTACTGTCATGTAATTCAGGTGGACACAAGACCTTAGTTGTAGCAAGCCGCTCTATGTGCAACACTAACAGTTCATAGATGGCATCCAGTCATCACATGGCTCCTGTATCTAGTCAAGGTACTTCAACAGTGAAGTCCATGTCAGGCACGAACTTTGTTGTTTAAGTTCAACTATCACATCCCACACCTAGGACTTGATGTTATTGAAGTCAAGGGATCTTATATATTCTGGTTAAGTTGCCGGTCACAACATCTGTGCCATAGTTCCATAAAATGAGCTGCATCCTAAGAAAGGGAGCAGTAACAGTAACAATGTAACATAAAAGAAAACTTTGTTAAACATGCTTCTTGAAGCTCAACATGTACAGTACTAGCCCGTCAGCCTGCAGAGTTCGATCCCCACCAATGCCTGGGGTTTTTTTTGTCTACATTCCCCCCCCCCCCCAGGATGGGTAGAATGGAGCGAAAAAATGTCCATGGTCCTATGTAGAAGATTCGCACAATATGTCATGTGGTTTTTACAATCAAAAAGAGTGCAGGCTAAATATCAAGAGTATCTTCAAAAAGGCAAGTGGCTGCCTGTCAGGCAAGGGATGACTCAAAGTTATCAGATTAAACAGCCACATCTTTTTTTAAAATCAACTGTGCTGTGAGCCATGACATCATAAAGACCATACAGTCAGTTACCCCCTAAGCCTTTTCATAGAAACAAAAGCTAAAAGAAAAAATGGAGAACATCCAAATATTTGACAGATTGGATTCACCATAGGTTTCATTTCCACACCGTCTTTTAAATACTCTCTGCTCTCAGAAAAACATTTTTAAAAATTAAAATGATAGGATTTAAGGACAACTAGAAGCACGCAGCAACATTTTTTAAAAATATTCCACCACACCACAGACAGCAGCCGAAATGCTTGGAACAGATCTGACAATATATTATATATATTCGTATTCTAAACAAGTTATTTCCACTAGCAATATATTATCACCTCATTTTCTACAACTACAGCACAGATGTCTTTGACAGTGAACTGATTTCCAGTTGTTAATGCAGATATTGCAAACTTCAATTTTTGACACTACATGCAACAAAAAACTAAGAACAGAGCAACAAAAAGACAGGAACAACACATAAATACAACTTATATCCATTTAAAAACATAAAACCATGTGAGTCTGATAAATTTATTATCTTCATCTGATAGACTCAGTAAACATGCTGAAATAGAATGAAGTTATAACATACAGAGGATAAATTTCCCCTTTTCATATTATGATCAAATGCAATATAAGTAAATTAAAAAATGCTTGGGACTAATGTAATGATGAAGCTGACAGGTTCCACCAAAAGTACTGTATCTTCAATGGTCCACAGGATCTGCTGAAAATTAAAACTTTATCATGACAACAAAACATACTACAGTACACTCTCCACCTAAGATCCCACCGTTTACAATCCTGGTTCGCATAAGATCCTGGTGTTTTAAGAAAATTATCACTGCTCTAAAGTCACCCCCTGAGATCCCGCTCTGAAGGTCTACCTAAAATCTGGGTTTTTTTAGATCATAGTTTACTCTCAAGCAAAATCCCGCGCTGGAACCGCAGATCAACCAAGAGTGAAAATATTAGAGAGTTAAAGTGCCCGTTCCGTCATAGATAAGTCACTCTCATGAATGTGATCTCATGTCTCCGTTGTACATCTCGAAACGGAGCAATATTTGCCAAAGATGGTATCACACCAAAGTGTGAACTCGCCGACGCGTTTGTTTCCCCCAAAAATCACCCTCGCATTTAGAGTTCTCATAAACTTACATTATACTTTAACTTCTCTGACAATTGTACCAGGAATTTGCGAGACAGGTTGAATTTTAATTGGTGAGGTCAAAGTTTAAAACAAATCGGTGTGTCACGACAAAGACGGGGGAACTCGTTCACAGATGGAAAGCTGTAAATTTGGGACATGTAAATGGGAGGAGCATTTAAGTGTAGATCTTCAGACTCACGATAGGATAATAAGTGAAAATGACATGTCTCATGCTACTGTGATTGATTAATTATCAAGGTTGACCACTCTTCATCACCCAAAAGTCTTAAACCCACGCACGGGTCAGGTCAGCTTGTTTTATGGTAAAGGGAGACCATTTTGCGGGTTATGGTCGAACATGGGTAACCGTGGATTCTTCCCTTGATGCGTCGGCTAAGATCTCGCATTTTCCTGGCCCGAAGCACCTGAACCTTAGGCAGAGACTACTGTACACGAAAAAAATCTTGTTCCGAAAGTTCACTAGAGCTTCATTTAGAAATTATTAGTGAAGCAAGACTAACTTTGCTCATTTTCACCAAAAAAAACCCAAAAAAAAACAACTGTCAAGGTAAACTCTTCATATGGCTATTTTGACAACATATTTGGTCATTTGGGAAGCAAAATTGAACTTCTTTAATTACACATCCTTTTAATGGATATCACAAAGAAATTAAGCTCATATTATTTCAGACTCTAAATCTAAATAAAGTAATAAAATAACCCATACCCCCCCCCCAAATTCCTTTGAAATATTCGCTAAAAATGAATTTTAAGAAAATAATTATTAACCCGTCTCAAAGCAACATGTCTTAAAACATTTTTTAAAATTGCTATCCTGATGGTTGACACTGGAGTTTCCATCACAGGTTTGAGTAGTCACAAATATGCTGAAATGATAATAGCCTTATAAAAAGTGCGGCCACTTTTGATTCTATCGTATCAGAAACAAAAACTATATTATTATTATATAGATTCTATCTCACACCTCCTATGTGCAGCCAATTCAAAACATACATAAAATTCAATGACTCGTGTTTTCAAAGTAATATCGTACTGAAATGAAACAGAAATGATAAACTGACCTGACCACCAAAAAACTTTTCTCTCACAATTGGTTCAAACATACCCAGTATTTACCCCAACAAACATGACTGGAACTTGAATTTTTTTTCAGAGGTACTGAAGTCTTGCTGTTTCCCCACCACTAACATTAAGGGACTGTTACAGAATCAAAGTCCTCTTTACTTCATCTAGGCTACAACATGTCATTACTTAGATGAAACCGCTGACACTGACAACCCCTCTCTAATCCCACAGTAGGAGACAGCATTCCACAAAATTACAAACGAAGTGTAAACTGACACGGAAACCAGGAACAAAATCACAAAGTATACAGACCCAGTAGGGGAAATCTTTTGTGAATTCAGAAAGTTTCAGAGCCCAGACCAGGGGAAGGAGGGAGGGAGGGGGAGGGGGAAGGGGAGGGGGAGGGGGAAAGGGAGAGAGAGAGAGACGGGGGAAGAGAACAGGGGGAAGAGCTAGCAAATATCACATACATGCCCCAGTTGACAGGAGGGAACGAGAGAAAGATAGAGTGAGAAAGTAGGTGGAGGAGAAAGAAAGACAGAAACAAACAAAGAGAAAGAGAAGGCTAGCCATCTTATCTTTTCTTCAAATTGTCTTAGCCTTATTGATTTCTCCAACTCCAAAACGGAGGAAAAACGATCGTTCATCAAAAAGACATCAGCAATCTTCATTTAGATCTAGATTTAGGCCTCGAAACTAGATCTACATCTGTCTGTCTATCAGTCTAGTTCTAGACCTAGACCATAGATCTAGAAGAACCTAAGTCTACCCTGAGTCTGAGCCAAGAGGGTGCTGAAACTTTCCGAAATCACAAAAGATTTCCCCTATCGGGTCTGTTTATACACTTCGTGACTTTGTTCTCGGTTAGCCTACCGGGTCTGTATACACTCCCAATTACAAAAGCTTCAAAAGCACTTGTCTTAAGGAGAACAGACCTGGTGGGAAAAGCTATTGAGTCTATTGCCTACTGCAATCAATTGGGCACTTTAAATCAGTAGCCTGAATATTTATTATAATCTAGAAGTAAGCCAATAATTCCGAATATCAAGGCCTGGCCTGACACTGAGACTATTTTATCTATTTTTGAAAGCATCTTTCTCCTGAAGTCGAAGTGTATACAGACCCGGTAGCCGATAGCCGAGTAACAAAGTCACAAAGTATACAGACCTGGCAGGGGAAATCTTTTGTGATTTCGGAAAGTTTCAGCACCCAGACCCGGTAAAGTATGTGTGTGTTCGTGTGTGTGTGTGAGAGAGAGAGAGAGAGAGAGAGAGAGAGAGAGAGAGAGAGAGAGAGAGAGAGAGAGAGAGAGAGAGAGAGAGAGAGAGAGAGAGAGAGAGAGAGAGAGAGAGAGAAAGCGAGCGAGAGAGAGAGAGAGAAAGTGAGTGAGCGAGAGAGAGAGAGAGAGAGAGAGAGAGAGAGAGAGAGAGAGAGAGAGAGAGAGAGAGAGAGAGAGAGAGAGAGAAAGAGAAGGGGGGGGGAGGCAGAAAAAGAGGGGAGAGAGACATAGAAAGGATGACTGCTCGGTTGAAATTATTATGACATTATTCTTTTCTCCAAGAATCAAATTGTCTTATCGATTCCTCCAACTCCAAAATGGAGGAAAAAACTATCATTCATCGAACAAACATCCACAATCTTCATTTAGATATATCTAGATCTAGGCCTCGAAACTCGATCTATGATTTAGGTCTGTCTTGATTTATAAAGACCTAGATCTAGATCTAGATCTAGGCCGTAGACCTAGAAGAACCACAGAATTCTACAAGAACCTAAGTTCTTCCCTGATGAACCAAGAGGGCGCTGAAACTTTCTGAAATCACAAAAGATTTCCCCTACCGGTTCTGTATACTTCGTGACTTTGTTCCCGGTTACTGGGTCTGTATACACTCCCTTTTTCTCCAGCTTGGCTACTAGATCTAGATCTAGAATCTAGATCTAGATCCTAGATCTACTGACAGATCTAAGTTGAAAGAGGATGAACAGAGAGGCAAAAGCACACAAACACATTCCATGACATTTCTATTTATTATGATTCAAAAATTTTCAGCTTGAATTACTTCAATGAGAACACAAAATGGGCGGAGAGGTCATGAGATTATGATCAATAATCATGGTCTCACATGGTATGGAAGTAGATCTAGAATTATAGAAATTAACATCAAATACTGTCGTTCCCCTTCAAAACCATAACGTAATTAATTTTTTTAAACAACAACAACAAACACAAAATTGAACCTTCTGAATCTGCTCCTGAATCACACGGACGATCTCACTAGCGTTCTGCTCATAGTCCTCTGCCAACATCGTCAACATGCTGATCTGTGGTTTGCTGTTCATTTTCAGTTCCTCCAGCGGAGTCCTGTAATTCTCAGCGGCTTCACTCGGCATTGTGTCGATAGTTTACGATTTCCTGACAAAGAAGACCTAAGTCACAACATTATCAATGTTTACGTTCAACACAGAATTGGATTTACAATTGAAATTGTACGTGTATTTTCCTTCTCGTCCGGTTCCAGGTGTCCTGTTCCTGTTACATTTCGACAAGCTTACGTTATCCGGATGGTGCATTGTGGGATTCTAATGGCCGAGAAAAACCCTGTCACAAGCTATTTTTCATCCAATGAATATCAGGTTCATAGTCACGTGACAAAAACGTTTAAAAACATGAGTGAACACCGACGGTGTAAAATTTAGTAAGTTACTAATTATAAAATGTGTGATAGGTGTAAACCTAGGCGATTATATGACCGTCTAGGTGTAAACATTAAAAGGGGGTAACTCTATGGGTGTAAATGATGTAGGCCAAGTTAAAATTAGATCTGCGGGACGGCAGGACAAAATTTCACTCAGAACAGCTGTATAGATTTAGTAGCCTATAGACTACATTGTATAGTAGCCTATGTATTTCCTGGTGCTGTCAGTGTCTAAAAAAATAAAAGCAGAGCATGCGGTCATTGCCTCATCACGAATTTGTTTCGAGCTGGACCCGATGCCGCTTTTATCTACATATCATTATCATATTTGTGAAAGTTCGTCAATTTCGAAGCCTAAAAATTCGAAACCACTTAACTTTCGAATTTGACCAAATTAATGAGGGTACAAAATCATTTAAAGGGTGCACAGTTTCACTGGGGAGCCTAAAGTCACTGTAGTTTAATTTTCCGTTTTTCATTAGTTTCGTTTAGATCTAATCTTGGGAAAGTCCGTCTTCTAAGATGCCATTGTAAACAAGTGAGGCGTTCACTAGCCGGGCGCACTCTTCCACATCTTTGAAATTATGGAGTGTACAACAACAAAAGCGGAATAGAGAGAAAATTGATCTATACATTTATAATTATATTTGGCAACTTATTGGAAACACATGACGTGGGTCACTTCTCTCTCAAGGTTTTTATAGCTCCAGTAGAGTGTAAATACATAATGTAGTTAATAGGAATTGCAGTAACTTTTCGTGCATCTTAAGGTGGAAAATAATTGTATAATTAATTGATAATAGCTGCTCTTATGGTTGCTAAACTGAGTATGCCAGTGGAGACCCAAGAGTGAAATGTGTAATTCTTTTAAAGAATAAAAACAAACTTTATTTTTGCTTTTGTGGTATACAATTTCTAAGTTTCGGTACGTGTACCATACTTTTTCAAAAAGATTGAACTGACAATGTGATCTTGAATTTCAGAACAGAGAAGTAATGAGAATGTCAAATTCAAAAATTACACCAAAAAAACTACAACAAACAAAAAATACCGAGAGAAATGTGGCTTCTACCTTTGAAAAGCTTGCTCATTAAATTTGTAGCACTGTAAAATATAACTGTTCAACTGTTTTAACTCTTTTATGCGCGCTGCCCCCCCCCCCCCCCCCTCCTTTCTGTACACAGACTATTGAGATTTATATATTTAACATGTTATAATTTAAGGTTAATCTATTGTCCCCTAGAATTCCTCGGGGCGCCTGTTCAAGTTCTAGTATATCCAAAGGCCATTCATATTATATGACAAAGCCCGTGTGTAACAGCTTTTATTTCTGAATTGACATTGATAAAAAATATTGAATAAAGATAGTTGCTTTTAGTCATGGACTAGTACATCTGGTTGCTTAGTCTGTGATGATGATGATGGTGATGATGATAAGGAGCAGGAGAGAGGAGGAGGAGTCTTGTTTGAAAGTGGGACAGAGTCAGATACGGTCAAATGAGGCCATACACGAAAATCTTTCCCACAAGACGAATATAATTACTCCTAAATTCATATTGTGTGTTCACCCTAAAAATAATCGGGAACATATCTCATTAAATCATCTTCCTACTTTAGGCAAAACGCAATTAGAAAAGATTTTTCAACAATAAATTTAGCTTAAGATGTGAATAATATACATGTATATAGGGCTTTAAACAGAATTAGGCAAGAAGCAGAGATGACAATAGTAATTACTGCAATCATGTGTGTATTAGTAATCTGGATTCAAATTTGATTGTCTTTGTCTAGCTTTTCGTGGTCAGGAAATATATTGTCATGGTCTGAATATAGAGGTAAAAAGTAGAGGGAAAAATACAAACAGATTTTTTGGAGTTTACCCCCCCCCTCCCCCCCCCCTTCACGTTTTTATGTAGACTCTGACAATCCAATAGTTAGTTTATATAATCAGTGCTTATGACTGCTAATTATGACAGTGGCTCGAAAGGGGTGAACATCGAGTAGGGTACCGTATTCATGTTGCAATGAAACAGTTTTGAATTTTGTGCACACGGATCAAATTTGAATTATTTCAATTTATAAGGCCTGCTTTTATAGCAGGTGTGCACAATTGTACCATAGCCTTCTCAGACTAGGGTGAAAATCTCGGAGGTCCCGGTGTGCAAGTTGCACACGTTAAAGATCCCTTGGTGGTCTAACATCGACAAGAGTAGGCTTCAGCCGTCACCCGGGCAAAATTCAAAATTTTCTACCAACTGAAAATGTTTGGCGTGTTCTGGGAGTTCACATGACCTTATGCAGTTGCGAGCTCCGTGAAACACTAACCAAAAAAAAAATATATAAAAAATGTAGGGCCTACGCAACTCTGTAGTGTGAGAAAACATTCTCATTGGTATGTTCTACATCTTGATTGCAAACAAATCTACAAACAAACACCCCCCCCCCCTCTCGTGAGCTCGGGCGGGGCCTAATGGTTGATTTGAGACAATAATTATTTCTCCAAAATCAGCGATATTGGACGCCTTTCGAGCAGTGGCGCCCTGGTGCTTGCAGCTTATTTAGCCCCACCTAGCTTTCTTGACCAAAGCGTTTCTTCTATCTAAAATCAAAATCAAATATTTCATAAAAATTTCATTAGGGGCAAAACATAATAACGCATCCCGATTTTATTTCGAATTTTAAAAATACCCCCCCAACCCCCCCCCCCCAAAAAAAAACCCAAAAAAAACTAACAAAAGAACTCCACGAACACCCAAATGAAACTTCTGGGGTAAGTGATCTGATTAGTCTGGGTGTCTAGATATACTACTGTACGTACTTTTATTATTACAGCTCTGTCCAATCAGGCGCTCCTTCCATCAGGGAGAATGAAATTTAATTGGTTTGTCCCTTAAGCCCCGGCGAAGTTCCCACTCTAAACTGAATATCACTGGGGTCTCGATCTTGCATAGCTCAAGGCCGAGACAATTAAGCAACTGATAGGTTTATTATTATTAGGCTTGGGGGCTCAAGCTGCTTTGTGTCACACTGTGGCCCATGAGTTTTGAGACCCCTGGAATAAAAAGAAAATGAAAAAGTTAGATATTACGAAACCTCTAAGGAAGCCATATTTATGAAACGCGCCGAAGTGCTTTATTTTTATAGCTACGTGTATTATCCTTTTCCACAGACATTGGGTTTGTAAATTTCAGTCCAAAAGAAGTTTAAATCTTGAAAAGTTGTATGATATGGGCGATGTCATAGAAGATGCTGGTTACTCGTTCCGAACCCCCCCCCCCCCCCACCCCCCAAAAGAAAAAGAAAAAAAGCCAGGTAACCTGAATCCAAGACCAAATACAGAACAAAACAAATAAAAGCGAACCTTATTTATCTGTTTGATTTTGTTTAGTTAGCAAACGCCATTGCACTTGCAACACAAGTATGTCAAACGTAGTGCCGAAGACTACAGGTGTTACAAGAGAGCAACACACACACACACACACACACACACACACACACACACACACACACACACACACACACACACACACACAAAGGAAGAGAGAGGAAGACGACGTACGTATGACATTTGATAGGAAAAACGGTAACAAATCACACCTGAGCACCTGCCAAACACCCGCTCCTTATGTCTCTACGGCACTAGGGGATTGTTTCATTGTAACAGTTAAGTACTGTCCCTTTGGCTGTTAAAAACAACAACAACAACAACACACACACACGCGCGCACACACACACACACACACACACACACACACACACACTCAGAGAGAGAGAGAGAGAGAGAGAGAGAGAGAGAGAGAGAGAGAGAGAGAGAAGGAGAGAGGTCGGATTACCGGCTATATAGTCTACTATGGCTGAAGCATTTTTTACACCCCCCCCCCTAGTTTCCGTAGACATATTGAATCAGATTATCGTTTGAAATAAATTAATTCATTATGCTAAACGAAAATGTGTAAAGTATAAAGATAGCAATTTCAATTAATATTTATAAAATTGTAATTCGAAACTGCTTCACACGTGCGCAATACGCAATCAAGAAGACCCCCCCCCCCTCGGACACACAAACACGCACACACAAAAACTCATATATTATGCAAACAGACAAATGCACAGAGAGCATGACATTGCCTTGATCTAACCAACAACAAAACAAAAACGCTCTTTTATTATCACTTCTTTAAAGCAGATACACTGCTTTTTCAGCCATCCCAATTCCTTTTGCTATAGTACCCGGTACTCTCTTTGCAGCGCATTCCTTTCTCACACAGAGGGAAAAGAAATTAAATTAAAAAAATATACTTCAACAAGCTGATGTGTCTAGAATCTACATCTAAATCTAGATTAGGATCTAGATCTTTCCTTTGTTGTAGACAATTGGGCTAATGGGTTAGCCTATTGCGATTCGGAAATCCCCTTCGTTCTTACTCCTATTTTCAGATATTCATGATGTCATAACACCTCGAGTCGACTTTCGAGAACCCGGATGAGAGTGTAGCAGAGTCAGGAGCTACAATTTTCGCACAGGGACGTAAGACTATCTGCTGGGGTTGAAAGAATCATTTTTAGAATATCTTTTTGGCCCATCTGTGTTCACATAAATTACCTGTTGGCAGATTGTTGTACTTCAAGATGACTACTCCAGCCAGGCGGCGTCTAATGAGAGATTTCAAAAGGTAGGTCGATGTTTTCCAGTGCTGTTTTCTATTATCGACACCATAGCCTAGTCCCTAAACAAACATGGCTGCCATTATGAGTAAAGCAAAACAAGTGGACAGTCATTGTCAGTCAGCATAATAAAATGTTTTTGATACTTACTCTAGACCCATTAACTTGCGTAAAACTGAACTGAAAAATATATTAGCACAGTTAGCGTGTTTGTCGTATATGATACATCTAGATCTATGATACTGTAGGCCTACTTGTACTTGTAGGCCTACCACCACTGGTTGAGGCGAGGTTGTGTTTGTTGTTATAAAATACTAATAAGTTACGAATAGTAGTAGTAGTAGTAATAGTCTATCTCTAGAGTTAGAGACTAGAATCTACACTCCTAGCCTAGATCTAGCTAGACTCTAGGCTAGTAGGAGGCTATTAATAACTACGATCCCTAATAACTATTACCATATTGGCCTACTCGTAACTCCTTGGCCTTGACTCTTTGTTGACTGCTAGACTCACTAACATGCAGAAAGAGTAAGAAAGAGGATATAGAAAGAAAGTTCAATGAAAGGTCAAAGGAGGCTCGTATAAACACAAGAAACTTACCATCTCAGTACTTCTGAAGACATGAAAACTACACTGTAGCCTACAGCGAGCACCTGAGACACCTCTGTTATTAGCCCTAATAGATGAAGTATTTCCGCCGTCTATTTTTGTCGTCTTCCGGGGTTTCCCCCTAGACTGTTGAGTTTCCCTCGCCACGACTCGCCAGTAACTGTTGACAAAGGATCTCGCCGTGTTTGGGTTTTTTTTTTGGTTAGATTTCTAGTTTTGTGTTATCACAAATTATTTATTATCATACAATCTCAGCGTTATCATACACCTTTTCCTCAAAGTTGTATACACACACACGCGCGTGCGCACAAGCACACACACTCTCTCACGCACACAAACGTGCGCACACACAGCGCAAGCAGTCGGCGATGAAACCTAGATCTAATGACGAAGCCCATGGCACGCTTTGTGAAAAAGTAGGCGGGCCTGCCATGGTGGTGAGTTGAGATCTAGTCAACTGGCGAGGGAAGCCCCGGAAGACTACAAAAATAGATTGTCGAAATGCATCATCTATATTAGGGCCACTCACAGAGGTGTGCCAGTGCTCGCTGCAGCTTCATGTCTTCTGAAGTATGATGATGCTGTAGCTGACTGATAGTAATAGCCTAGATAGTAGCTTTTTTTAGACTTAGAAAAAGTATTGTATTGTCAATATAATTGTGCTGCAGTGCAGCAGCTGTTGCCTAATCTTAGCTTAACGTGGCCGAGGAAGTGTGCAGCGTACCACAGGAAGTAACATGCCCTGTCGTCACGGCTGATTGGCTGTAAACATGGGGGTTTGGTGGGGGTATAGTTATCAGCTGAGATATTTTCAGATTTATTTACCTACCTGACTGCTAATGAAAAATGACCATACACGGCTCAACAGATGATAAGAAGCATATTATAAAACCATCCTTTAAAGAAGGTCAGGGTCTTTCTAAAATGCCCTTTATGTAAGGCCTGCGCGCTTCCTGGCCGAAGTAAGTCTGCCTTTTTTACAACAGGTAGCCTGGCTAGGGCAATCAGGCTTCCTGGGCTAAATACTTTCATTATTCTGTTCTTGGGAGTAAATTTTGCACTTCACGTCAGGTCAACATGTTGGATTTACACGCACAAGTTTCGACCTTGTTTTCTCTGTCCTTTGCAGTTTAAAACCGATGATTGATTTCTTTAAAAAAAAAAAAATATAAATCACATCCAGAAAAACATTTTTCTTATGTATTCTGGTAATTTTTTTGAGCAAAACTGAACCCGGTCTTCGCTGCTGTAAAAAATGGGACCCCGAGAGCAGTGCTATCGCACGTGGAGGTTACTGACTGATTTACAATGGGGGTACCCTCTTTGAGCTTTAGATATGAAGGCGAATTTGACATCGTTGATTCTTCAAACTTGGCAAATTATCAGAGAAGAGGTCAAACTAAAGATCTCATTTTGTTCGGTTCAAGTCAACATAAAACTTGTGGAAATGATTTCGGCAAAATTTGTCATTGTTAAGGCCAGGATGCTTGTAAAGTGTTGATCTGCATGGACCAGATAGCAAGTTTTGAATGTGAGAACCAGACATTCAATCATGTTAAATGAGACATTAGAGAAGGGGGTATCATTTGTCTGACTGTAAAGTACAGAAGTTGATGTCAGGGCAAGGACATCAACTGCTGAGATTACAGTGTAGGCCTGGCGGTTTGGTGCTGCACCTTCTTTTGTAGAAGACAGGGCAGTCAGTCCAGCCTCTGGACTTTCACCATTGGGGGTATTTGAAGGACGAGATGAAAGGGAAAACCTTCAAAAGTATTCTCAAGACTTAGAATTGAAGCCATCATGGAGGTAACAAGATAGAGTTTCCCTGAGCCAAGTCGGCAGGTAACTGTCAATTTCCTTCAGAGTGTCAGAATGTGCTTTACTTGAAATTGGGGGCATCTGGATATACCTTGTCACTTTGTGGCTGTCATATTCTATTGTTAATAATTGCATAATAAATCCGAATGGATTTTCCAGGTTTCTGCAAACTTTGGTGTTAGTATCATTCTTCATAATGGTTTTATCAGTTTTCTTATGGACACTCTTTTTTTCTGGTCACCTGGTATCTTCAAATGTTGATGTTTGGTTTTAAATTTGTTTGTGTTTTTGTTTTGTTTTCAGGCTTCAAGAGGACCCGCCTTCTGGCGTGAGTGGAGCTCCTTCAGACAATAACATTATGTTGTGGAACGCAGTAATATTTGGGTAAAGGGACTCTCTTTGTACTTTTTTATTTCTTTGTTTTTTTTGGTTAGAGTTTTTTTGCACTTTCAACGTAAATAGGTCTTTTGAATCCAAGTGCCGCCAAATATTACAGGTGTTTTATTTGAGGAGTAACACAGGGGAAAAAGGAAGAGGAGAGGTAAGGATGATAGATGTTTGATAGGAAAAGAAGGAGCAAACCAGACCCGAGCACCCACCATCCACCCAGTAAACTAAGTTGACAAGTGACCATTGGAGCAGGTTCGACTGTATATATTTATATATATATGTGTTTGTGTGTGTATAGGCCTATTACTTTTGTAATTATACATAGGTTCTAACATGTAATTTAAATGTAAGATTTAATTTTAATATTATTGTGTAATCCAGCACTTTAAGTGGATTTTAGGTACTATAAAATATATTATTATTTATTAAAAAAAAAAATTTCTTTTGATATATTTTCAGTGGGGAAAGTGGGAAATAATCGATAATAGCTAATCTATTTTCACTCTTTTTCTCTCACCCAGGCCTCATGATACCCCTTTCGAAGACGGTACTTTTAAACTGACCATAGAATTCACAGAAGAGTATCCAAACAAGCCCCCCACAGTTCGGTTCATTTCCAAGATGTTTCATCCAAATGGTAAGTCTTGAATGCTGTAAGTATTTCTGCTGTAGTGAACAAAGTGGGGAATACTGTTAAGTATTCTTGCTGTAGTGAACAAAGTGGAGAGTACTGTAAGTATTCTTGCTGTATTGAACAAAGTGGGGAGTACTGTAAGTATTCTTGCTGTAGTGAACAAAGTGGGGAGTACTGTAAGTATTCTTGCTGTAGTGAACAAAGTGGAGAAATCTGTAGGTATTTGTGCTGTAGTGAACAAAGTGGGGAATACTGTAAGTATTTCTACTGTAGTGAACAAAGTGGGGAATACTGTAAGTATTTCTACTGTAGTGAACAAAGTAGGGGATACTGTAAGTATTTCTGCTGTAGTGAACAAAGTGGGGAATACTGTAAGTATTTCTACTGTAGTGTACAAAGTGGGGAATACTGTAAGTATTCTTGCTGTAGTGAACAAATGGGAAATACTGTAAGTATTCTTGCTGTAGTGAACAAAGTGGGGAATACTGTAAGTATTTTTGCTGTAGTGTTATAGTTCCCCACAGAGAGATGGCCAAGAACATTCAACCTTGTTAAAGGAATCTCAAAGGAGCCAGCAAGAAAGATTCCATTATATAGATAAGGGAAGTTGGGAAGGGGGAGGGGGTTATATGTGCATATGCTGTGATAATGGCAGGCGTCAGTCATACTTACCCGTTGCCATGAGAATGTTCATCTTATTGAGACCAGTGTTTCACCAATTAAAAACAGATATATTTGTGCCTACAGTTTATGTGGATGGAAGATAAGTTTAGATATCCAATTTGTGTCCACACTTTATGCGGATGGAAGATAAGTTTAGATATTTGTGTCAACAGTTTATGCGGATGGAAGATTAGTTTAGGTATAAGTTTAGATTTCCTATTTGTGTCCACAGTTTATGCCGATGGAAGTATATGTTTAGATATCCTACAGAACCGATGGAGTCCTACCTATGATGTGTCTGCCATTCTGACCTCAATCCAGGTAATACATTTCTCCTTTTTCTTGTTCCGCTAATGGGAATCTAAGGTCAACTTGCATCATTGTCATCATCATCATTGTTGTTGTTGTTGTTGACGGGCAGCAGGGAGGGAGTTTTACTGCAGAAATCACCACTTGGGGTTGGG